GGGGGGGGGGGGGCGGCGGCGAGGGTGGGAGCTGGAGCGAGGAGCGGACGAGGAAAGGGGAAGTGCAGCGAGGGGGGCAGGGGACGGGAGGACGTCTTCTTGGGCGTCGGGCGTGGGCGGGGACGGCGCAAGGCAGGGCGCGGCCGGCGAGAAGTAAGAACGAAGGGCGGCGAGGGAGGGTCGGCGGCGAGGCGGCGAGACGGGCAGGATTGAGGCGTGGAGGCTGGGGGCACGGGGTGGCGGTCTGCGGTCCGCCGACGGCGGCAGGTGCGACCGCGCTATTGGTGCAAGGCGCCCTCCCGCCGTGGCTCGGCGGGACAGCCCCGGGGAACACGCGCCTGCAGGCTCTTGACCAGCGTGGCGCCCTTGGCGCTCTTGAGGTCGCTGCCTGTGATCGTGAGGTCCCCGCACTCCTCCATGGAGGCTCCCAGAGCGCCCCGACTCGGGAGGCTGAAAGGCGCGAGCGCCGCACGGGTTTCTTTCCGTGATTTGGTGTGTGTTCAACCGAAAGTCCGCGCGCCCTTGTCGTGCCAGTGTGCTGTGTGAGAGGCTTGTATTTGAAGAATTCTTTCCCCCCCGTGAGACTCCAGGAATTATTTGCATGTAGGCGCGGCCCGCAACCGCTTAACCAGGCGCCTCCTCCCACCCTACCCCCGCTTTGGCGGCTCTGCCTCGCAGCGCCCGCGACTCCTCCGGCCCGAGCTCGGCCGACATGCGCTCCAGGTACGAGCCGCTGCGCCGGAGCAGCTCGTGCGGCCGCCCCTGCTCCACTAGCCGCCCCGCCTCCATCACTAGCACCACGTCGTAGTCGGCGATGGTGTGGAGCCGGTGCGCCACCGTCAGCACCGTCACGCCGCGCAGCTGGCCGCGCACAAAGGTGTGCTGCACTCGCGCGTCCGTCTCTGCGTCGATGTTGGCCGTTGGCTCATCCATCACGAGCACCGTCAGCTTGTCGCGCAGCAGGGCCCTGCACGGCAGCCGGCAGCCGGCAGAAAGGTGTGTGAGCTATCGAGCGCAGTCGGAGTGGCAGCGGTGGCAGTGGTGACAGTGGTGGCAGTGACGGTGGCACTAGAGGAGATGATTGTGAGGTGGTGGGGTGTGGGCGTGGTGGTGATGGCGGCTGTGGTGGTGGTGGCAGGGTGCGAGGCCGGCTCCGCCTCCCAAACGCGAGGAGCTGCCTCTGCCCGGCGGAGAGGCCGGCCGCGCCGCGCGCCCCCCCTCCGAGGGCGGTGTCGAGCCGGATGCTCGGGGGCAGGGCGAGGAGCGCGAACACCTGCGCCACAGCTAGAGGTGCCGCAGCGACGGAGGTGGGAGGGGCGGGGGAGCAGGGGGAGTAGGGGAAGGCGCGTGGGGAGCAAGAGGTGGGGTGCGGCTGTGATCGCCCACCTCGGCGAGCCGCTGCTCAGAGTGAGCTCCAAACGGGTCGAGGTTGAGGCGGATCGAGCCGTCCATCAGCAGCGGCACCTGCGGGATGACCGCGAGGTGCCGGCGCAGTGTCTGAAGGCCCATCGTGGCGATGTCGACGCCGCCGAGCCGGACGCAGCCCTCGTACGCGTCGACGAGGCGGAAGAGCATCGCCACCTATGCGACGCGTCCTGGAGGCTGTCGTGGACGTGCGCCCGCGGAGGGGGGCCCCGATGAGAAACAGCGCCACCAACGAGCTCTTGCCTGCGCCGGTGCGGCCGCATAAGCCGACGCGCTCCCCGCCCTCGATGCGGGCAGAGAGGCGCCGCACCACAGGCGGGAGCGACGGCGCATACCTAGATCTCGGGCGATCTCAGGTGATCGTGGCTGATGACGGGGCGAGCTTTACGGGCGGCCAAAATGCACCGCAAGCTCGCGCCGCAAAACTCGATGGCTCCGCCCTTGCGGCCGTGGACCGTCGCGGGCCAGCGGGGAGGGAGGTGGTCGTCGACTGAGGGGACGCGCCACGCAGGCTCATGCGGGAGGTCGAGCAGCTCGAGCAGCCGTTCGAGCGCCGTGAGCGCGGCGGTGACTTGCAGAACATTGAGGGAAAAGAACATCAGGAAATACGGCAGCGCGAAGGCGTAGTTGAGCGCGAGCGCGCTCTCCGCGGGCGAGAGGCGATCCGCCTGCAGCAGTCCACGTCTCGCTGACGGGCGGAATGGCTTCCTTTCCCTCTCCCTCTCCCTCTCCCTCTCTCGGTTGTGTCTCGGACTCAAGAAGGGTGTGTGGACGGGGACTGCGCGCCTGCAGCACGATGGCCGCGGCGGCGCTGACCGAGAAGAAGAGGCTGACGAAGTAGCTAGTCTGGAAGGACCAGCTCTGGAGCGAGTTTGTGACCAGGTTGAGCCTGAGGAACTCGTCAACGTGCCGGTCGAAACGCTCTCGGACGAAGCGGGGCGCGTAGCCGTCGGCGACAGAGGCCTCGGCGAGCGGGCTATCCTCGTCCTCGTCCTCCCCCTCGCACTCCTCCTTCTCGTCGTCGTCCCACTTGGTAAAGGCGCAATGCCGCAGCAGCTCGGCCGCCTCGGCCGCCTCGGCCACGTCAGTGAGGACCGGCGCCATGGCCGTGTTCGCCAGCCTCTTGGCCTCACGGTTGGACCTATGGACGTGTCATGGACGCGTCACGGACGCGCCCCTGGGAATCACCCGCCGCCTCTCCCCTCGCGGCTCCTCTCGACCGCGACGAGCTGCACCGCCGTGAGCGCCACGATTACCACCGCGGCGATTAGCATCCACGGGATGATTAGGGCGATCACCTAGATTGAGTCGGCCGATCTCGTGTAAACTCGAGTGACGTTGGGTGATCTAGGGCGTGAGGAGCGTCCGCACGCACAGTAGGGGGGCGGGTGGGGGCGGTCACCGCGAAGAAGGCGAGGATGGTGGCGGAGAACTGTAGTACGTTGTCGCCGAACTGCGCGAGCGCGCTGTCGGCCGTGGTGAAGTCCGAGCTAAAGCGGGAGATGAGCCTGCCGCTCGGCGTCGAGTCGAAGTAGAGCACCGGCGCGCGCAGCAGGCTGGCGACACAATCCGCGTGGAGCGAGCGGGCGGCTCGCGCACAGCCCACCTGCACCATATCGTCCGAGACACGCGTCCGAGATCACGCTAGATCGCCCGAGGTTTAGCCCGCGCGCAGCTCACCTGCACCGTAGCCGACGAGACGAGGAGGAAGAAGAGGAAGAGCGCCGTGCCGCCCACGTACACGCCGATGTACCGCCCGTCGCCATCGCCGCCCCTCCCTCCCCCCTGCCCCCCGGCCGCCTTCTCGGCCTCCTCCTCGTTATGGTCCAGCCAGTCGGCCAACCAGCGGTCGTTGAAGCCCATCAGGCCTATGCGTGGTGTCATAGGGCGCCGCGTCATGCCCTCTGTCTGCGAGCAGACGAGCCGTCCCAAAAGCGCCTCAGACCCCACGCAGCGGCCGCCAGCACGCAGCAGAGCGCAAAGTGGCAACGGCCGAACGAGCGGAGGTAGCGGCGGAGCGTCGACCCGCTGAAGTGTCCGGTGCGCCGCGCCTCCGCCGTCCGCTGCGCCGGCGCCCCCAGCTTGGCTGCGGCCACCGAGCACTCGACCGCCGCCGCGACGCTCAGCTCGGCCACTGCGCCGTCCCTCTCCTCCCCCAGCGCGCCTCCCGCCTCTGCAGGCGAAACGCCCGCCTCTGCAATCTCGGACCCCGTATCGCCGACCGATGCCGCAGACCCCGCCTCGTCGCCCTGTGGAGACGGGAAGGCCGACAGGTGGTCCGTGGCCACCTCCGCTGAAGGACCCTGCGCCGTGATGCGTCCAGCTTCGAGGACCACGAGCCTAATCTCGGGCGAATCTCGTTCAACCTCGGGGCATCTCGCGGCGACCCCTCCTCGTTAGACGCGAGCCGCGAGCAGCGCCTCGCCAAATGGAGCTGGTTGAGCGCGAGGACAACTGCCCGCCCGCCTACTCGCGGCACGCAGACCTTACGCCACAGCCTATGCCGGCGGGTGAGGCCGCCCCGCCCCTGCTCACCCGTCGCGTACTCGCGTAGCGAGCGGAAGAGGTGCGCACCCACCCGCGCGTCCACCGCCGCCAGCGGGTCGTCGGCAAATAGCAGCGCCGGCCTACAGCAGCGAGCGACCGTCCAATCCGCTGCGGCTGGACCCCTGCCTCCCGCTGCGGGCGGAAGGAGAGGGCGCGGGTGCCTCTGGTAGAGGGCACGCGCGAGAGCGACACGCATCTGCTGACCGCCAGAGAGGGTCACGCCGCGCTCTCCTACGGCGGCCAAGCTCTCCCATCACAGCCATGTCCCGCCGCCCACCGGCAGAGAAGAGCCACGCAGCGCGCCAACCAGCGTGTCCAGTCCAGCCGGCATCTGCTGCAGGTCGGGTCCGAGGCACGCCCCCTCGATGGCGCGCGCGAGCCGAAGGCGCCGTAGCGGGGCGCCAAAGGTGATGTTTTCGAGGATCGAGCAGCTCAGGACGCACGGCCGCTGCTGGACGTAGCACACGGAGCGAACCAGCGCCGCCGCCTGCGCCGGCCAAACCCTTGCCTGCCCCGCCGCGTCTGCTATGCGCCCGCTGCCGGCGACTGCCAGGCGAGGCATCTCCCCGAGCACGGCACAAAGCAGCGACGACTTTCCACTCCCGATTGGCCCCACCACACCGACGACCTCGTCTCCGCCCACCTCGAGCCCGCCGCTGCCGACCTGAAGGAGAAACCGGCCGCCATCGCCGCCGCCGCCGCCGCCACCGCTGCTGCCATCATCGCCGCCGCCGCCGCTGTCGCTGCCATTGCCGCCGCCGCCGCCGCCGCCGCCGCCGCCGCCGCCGCCGCCGCCGCCGCCGCCGCCGCCCTCACTCCAGGCGAAGACGGCCTCGTCCACCCTCGCCAGAGCCGTGCCGGCTGCCCCTCCCTCGAGCGTCGCCTCCCACGACGGCGCCCCGTCGCTAGGTGAGGCTCGCGCGAGGTCCCGTCGCGGGGTCGCCGCCTCCGCCTCCTCGAGGGGCGGCGTTCCGACGGCGTCAGGCGTGGCCGGCGGGAGGGGCGGAAGGGGCGGCAGGGGCGCGTGCTCCGGAAGCTCCAGATACCGCTCCACGCGCGCGAAGGAGACCTGGATGCGTGCCCACTCGGCGAGGCCGGTCGGGAGCATGATCAGCGCCTATCGCGACGCTGTCACGATCAATCTGGCCGCGGTACTGGCCGCTCGGCTGAGCACGGTCGGGCGCCATCCGCAGCGAAGTGAAGACGGAGAGGGCAGCGAATACGTCGGCGGCGTCGAGCAAGCCTCCTCCCGCCTGTGGTCATCGCGTCACGCTCTCGCAATCCTGTCACGCTCGCCAGCCACGGAGCACATCTCGGCTACATCTCGGCTCTTCTCGCCTGCGAAATGTAGACGAAAGCGGGGCACGCGGCGAGGAAAGGCACGGCGCGCCCAATCTGCGTCGAGCCTGGAACGAGGGACGGGGAGGGAGGGAGGGGGGGGGGGAGGGCACGGGGTTGGGTGAGCGTGCGAGAATTGCTGTGGGCGTGACAGGTTTGCGTTGGGGCGGGGCCCTGGTAGAGGATGCGGAAGCGGCGCATGTACCCGACCTCGACCCGCCGCGCCTACAGAGAGGAAAGTTCCGTGAAGGTTCGCGGAAGGCCGCATGCACGCGACCCTCGCCCCACGCCGTGCCGTGTCGATGGCGTCCATGTACTGCTCCTCCCACGACAGGAGCTTGATCGGCTTGATGTCGCCGATGACGAGCCGGAGCAGCCCGAGCCGCCTGGGGCAGTCCTCTCTCGCTCCTCCCCTCCGCCGCAGCCACGGGGTAGGGGGAGGGCGAGGCGCCTGTCGGCCGCGCGCATCTCGAGCCGCTCGGTGGCCTTGATGCGTCGCGCCAGCTCAAAGTTGAGGCAAGTGGCGAGCACCTACAACAGGGCCCGGAGAAGGTTAGGGTAGTGCGCGCCGTGCTCGCGTCGAGGCGGACGGCGCAAGGAGGCTCCATGGCGGCGATCCCGATCACGCCCGCCCAGCCGAGCGAGAGCACGAGGAGCACGCAGCCGCCGACCAGGCCCGAAGAGCTCATCGGCAGCAGGCAGAGGTAGCGACTCGCCTGCGGGACGGCTCCAGGGAGTGCACGGAAAGTTTCTGGCTGGCAGAGCGACTATCTCTGCAAGCAAGCGTGACGCGATTGCAGCGGGAAAAGGAGGGTACCGGCGCAGGCGACTCGCCTCCATCGCTCGCACCAGGTCCGACCCGATCAGCGTGCTCGCCTGCACCTTCCCGCCGCCCACGCCAGTCCGGACACGAACCGCCTTGCGCTGCACGAGCGCCGACGCCTGCGGAAAGCACGACAGCCTCTCCGCACGCTCACGTCGCGCGAGCGCTGCCCCGAGCGCCGCGCCATGCCAAACACCGCGCTGAAGAGCCGATCCGAGAGCATGTGTCGCGACGCGCCTGGTGCCGCCAGTCCATGTGAGCAGCCCCCGCTCGCAGGTGGACGGACGACGCCGTGAGGCGCCGGCGCAGACGCCCTCGAAGAGCAGCGACGCACCGATGGCGCAGATGAGGCCCACAGAGCGGAGCGGCGCCACGCCGGCCGCCACCTGCTCCACCGCGGGCGTGAGCGCAGCGGGGTCGTCGCTCCTCTGTTCGGTACTTTGTCTGTGGCGGTCACTCTTCTCCTCTCCTCTCTCTCTCCTCGCTCTCTCTCGCGCTCTCTCGCGCTCGCTGTCTCGCTCTCGTTATCGCTCCCTCTCGCCTTCTCTCCCTGATCGCATCTCCACTCCTCTCCTGCTCGATGGTTAGCTTGAGCAGCAGCGGCCGCAACACGACATTGCAAAGTCCATAGCAAGAGCTCATCGCGATGCCAGCGAGGAACTCGCGCCTGTGGAAGCGCCACGTGAGGCCGACGATAGATCGTCGGTTTGCCTTCTCGCCATCTGACCACCAGAGCTCGGCCGCGAGACGGGCATCGGACTGGGTCAGCCCAGGAGGCAGGGCAGGCAGGTCGTGCGCCTCGAGTGGCCTGCGCCAGCCACGCCAAACCAGCGACCAGACCCAGAGTAGCAGGTAGCGACGCAATAGCTGCGCTAGCCAGATGGCCATTGTGCTGGCTCAGCGTCGCCGGCGCGGTTGTTCTCGTCTCGAGGTGGATATCCTTTGGCCGCGTTGGGTAGCGAGGATTGGTGTCACGCGATCCACGCAGGCGTGGTTTGTAGCCCGACCGTCGAGCAAACCCAAGCCTGCTAAGTGGAAAAAGAATTTTATCCACCGATACAACCTCCTACACCCCTCGAATTTACCCGCCTCGCACGCCGTCGCCGTCCCGCCCGCGTCCCGCCCGCGTCCCGCCCGCCATCGCCCAGCCCGCCCGATTCTCGGCATATTTCTGTGTATATGCTGCGGCGCGCAGCGCCCGCCGCCGGCTCGTGGCTGAGGCGACTGCGCCACCGTCTGAGCGACGAGCTCGAGCTCTTCACCTTCTCCATGTTCGCCGCGGCGAGCACGAGCCTCGCCACCAGTGGGGCCGTGCTGCACATCACGCAGTGGTCTGGCCACGATGTCGGCTCCGGAGGCCGGCTGTGGGGCGGCTCGCGCCGCCTCGTTCGCTACCTCGAGGTGCACGGCGACGGCAGACGCCCGCTGGACGGACTCCGGCTGCTCGAGCTTGGCGCGGGCACAGGCGGCGTGGGGCTTGCGGCGGGGCTGCTGGGCGCGCACGCGACGCTGACCGACCAGGCGTCCTTCCTCTACCCCGGCGAGGAGCTGCCCACCAACGTGTCGCAGCCGAGTCGCACGCTGCTCGACCTCGCGCGGGAAAACGTGGCGCGCAACGAGGGCGCATTTGGCGCCGCGCCGCCCGTGGTGGCGAGGCTGCTGTGGGGCGACGAGGAGGACGAGCGATCGCTGCCGCACCCAGAGTACGACGTCATCTGCGGCGGCGACATCCTCGGATTCACGGCTGCGCACGGCGACCTGCTCCGCACACTGAGGCGCCAGCGAGGAGGGGCCCTCCACACACGGGGAGACGCCACCACCGCGCTTCCTCAAAGCCGGGGATCGTCCGCCGCCTGTGAGCACCCTCCCTGCCCTCCCCCTAGGCGCGTGTCGCTCGACTCGACCGTCGTGCTGCTCGAGTGCACCGACCGCGGCGCGAGCACGAGGCGCAGGTGCCGCCCGAACTTGGCGCCCTCTCCGCTGAACCTTCTCTGAACCGTCCCGTAGGCGCCTCGGAGACGGAGTTCCCGCCCGACCTCGCGTGCTTCCTCTCTGCCGTCGCGGCGGAGGGGCTGTGGGCGCCAGCGGTGACCCTGAGGATGGCGAAAGCCCGATTAGCCCGTGCGGCCTCCGACACGGCGGGAAAGGCATGCACTTTTGGGACAAGGGAGGGTGACTGTGAACGCTGCTAGAGATGCCTTTCGGGGCCCAGAGATAAAACTTCTGATGCCATGCGTGACCTAGTAGTGTCCCCAGCTATGGGCGTGTCCACGTTGGAGCCAGGTGTGCTCTCTCTCGTTTTTTCGTCTCCCCGGCTCCCTCCCATTCGAAGCAACAAAATTCTCTACACACACGGAGGCTGAACGGAAAATAATTTTTTTGCTTGGGCGCGAGCTGGGCAACCGGTTCGCACCGGCGGTGGTCGGTTGGCTCCCGGGCTCAACCGCCACCGAGAATGGCCGAGCAGCCAACCACTTTCGAGGCCCTCGGAGCCGACATCCACCGTGCTGTCCTCCTTTCCCTCGAGTACGAGCACGCAACGAGCCTCCGGTCGGCGTCCAAGCGACTGCTCCTGGCCTGCGATGCTGGCACCTCCGTTCGTGTTGTACCCCTGCGCTGCACCCTGATCTCATACCACGCGTGTCCTTTCGCACAGGCTTCTGCTCCCTCTGGCTCGCCAAGCACGCCGAGTCCTACCGCGTGTGGCGCGATGCAGACCTGCGGGCGCGGCAGCTCTGTCGAATGAGGAGCGAGTACGAGGACCTCGACTCGCAGCCGCTGGAGGTTGAGGACGAGGAAGATGAAGAGGAGCCGGCGACGCAGGTCTTCGCCTTCTTTGCTGCACGCTGCGCTGACGCCGAACCCTCGTCGAGCCCCGACGCCGAGCCGGCAGTCTCTCTCCCGTCTGAGGCGGCAAGCAGCAGCGCCGCCTCCGTCCCCCAATCCGGCACCTCTCGCGACGGCCCAGAGGCGCCGAAGCGGCCAAAGTCGTCTCTCGGCCGGCGCGCGTCCGTGGAGGCCGCCGCGCTGCAGGCGCTCTTGCGGCAGCGCACCTTCTACCGCGAATTGGACGGCGTCGAGCTGGAGAGGGAGGCGTCGGTGGACGTGTGAGCGACCGCTCCTACCGGGTGCTGGTAGGACAGCCACGCGTCGTTGTCACCGATACGCTCCGTGTCGGGCGCGCGGACACCATTTTCTCGTTATTCATTCTTTTCATGATACGGGGGCACACAACGCCGGTGTGTTATAGAGCCGTACCTGTTATACCGCATACGGCTCTACCGGGGTCTCCGAGATGTAGTGTGGCTGTGGGCCCCACGAGCGCTGTGGGCCCGGCCGCGGAGATCACACATGAGCAGGCTAGTGAGCAGGGGACGAGTCCGACAGCACCACGCAGCGAAAGAGTTGCGAGCTATTGGACATGAAGACCAGGCGCTGCTCGTGCGTCTCTCCCTCCGCCACGAAATCGGTGCGCGCCGCCCACCCGCCCGCGCGCAGGAAGCCGGAGGCCGGGACGGCAGACGCACTCGTGTACCTGCGGGGGCGACGGAGGTCGGTGACGCCAGAGGCGAGGGCAGCGGCGGCAGCGGCGGTGTGCGGGTCGCACCGGAGTATCGCGTACCGCTCGCCCTTCGCGAGGCCCGACACGGCGAGCGTTCCGACGAGCGGCGTGGGCGGCTCGTGCTTGCCGTCCTCGCGCGAGTAGTCGGGCTCGTACCAGGCGGAGACGACCTGTTCACATCCGGAGGCGTGCAGGGGGCCTCTGCGCAGGGAAGCGCTTGCGCCGTGCGGCGACGACCAGCCGCGCGGGCAGAAGCTCGCCGGCGGGGTCGTGGTTGCCGTGCACGCGGTAGCCGTAGTCCACGGATGCGGGGAGGCAGTACTCGAACCGCTGCTTCCACGGCAGGGCGCGCCTGAGGCAGCGCCGAGGGGGTGGAGCAACGCGGCGGTGGACCGCAGCGCTCGGGCTGCTGCAGCACGGCAGGGTGGGGCGCGCCGGCAGCGGGCGCGGTCCTTGGCGAAGGTGGCGAGGTCCGCGACCAGAGTCGAGTTGGAGTGGAGGTCGTTGTACAGGAGCTTGGCCGGCCTGCGACGAGTGCACAGGCACGAGTGAAGCCGGCTGGCTGGAGTGAAGCCAGCTGGAGTGAAGCCAGCTGGAGTGAAGCCAGCTGGAGTGAAGCCAGCTGGAGTGTGGCTCGTCGTGTGCGGCAGCGTGGTCGGCCTGCCCAGCACGCCGACGTACCCAACCAGCGGCACGATGTGGTCGAGGTGAGGGTTGTCCTCGCCCGCCATGTACACGCCAAAGACGGACGGCTCTCCCGCGTCGACCGATCGCGCCAGCCACGCAGCAAAGGCGGCGGCCTGCGGGACAGGAAGGGGTGACAGGAAGGGGGGGAGGGCAGGCTCCGGGGTGGCGGGGAGAGGCGGAGCAGCCGAGTCGGGCGGCGGCTGTGGGGGCGGCGGGGCGAAGCGGGGTGGCGAAGGGGGGGGGTAAGGGGCGGGAGGAGCCTGCGGCTGCAGCGCGCTGGCGTGGTCCCACGCGGTCACGTTAAGTCGGAGCCGCCTCGCCACCGCGACCGAGTCGCAGCAGCCGCCCTCGGCGCCGAGCAGCAGCTGGTGCGCGCCGTCGTGCCCGCCCGTCTCGCCGCGGACGGCGTCCTGCGTGAGCCAGCTGCCTACGGGGCGCGTCGAGGACAGGTCTCGGACATGTCAGGGACGGAACTACCGCCCTGGCGAGCCATCCGCCGTAGTACAGGGCGACCGACTGGATGGAGGCGGAGCCGCAGTAGCCCGACACGCGGCGGCCCCAGCCCCACATCAGGCGAGGCGGCATGGCGAGGGCGTGCCGCTCTTCGGGCGGAGGCGGCGGCAGGGTCGTCGGCGGCGGCGGAGGAGGCGGCGGGGTCTTCGGCGGCGGCGGAGGAGGCGGAAGTGGTCCATCCTCGAGCGGGCGGCACCTCGGCCGCGGGGCTGGCAGCAGCTTGTCGAGGTAGTGCCGGTAGACGTGCGTCCGCTCAAAGCAGGCCTCACACGCAGGCACACGCTCCCACCCCGGCGGAGGAGCGACCCCGCCGCCCGCCGCCCAGCAGCCGCCGCAGCCGGAGGGCGGCCCGCCCGTCTCCCAAAGGCAAGCCTCGCCGAGCAGGCCGGCGTCGGCCGTCGCGCGCGCCTACGGGCGCCGTCGGCTCATCACGGCACCGCCTCGGCTCGTCAGCTCCTCCCGAAGCGGGAGTAGGCAAACGGCATCTCGTCTCGGCTCTGCTCTCGGGGCTGCCCTCTCCTGCACCGGGTCCCACCGGTCTGCGAGGGCAAAGAGCCTCCCGGCGGCGGCCGAGCTCGCGGGCGTGATGCCGAGTCGGCGGCGGAGCGCGCCGCGCCAGCTTCCGGCGGAGAAGACCACCGCGGGAGGCGGCGGCGCAGCGCCGCTGCCTGCCGCAGCGCCGCTGCCCGCCGCAGCGCCGCTGCCCGCCGCAGCCCGCACCTCGGCCACCATCATTGCAAGGCTCGCGCCGAGAGAGTGGCCGGTGAAGAGCAGGTCGCACCGCGGGCACGAGACGGCTGAAACCTCGGTGGCGCGCGCTGCAAACTCGACTGCGCGAGGGAGGTAATCGAGCGTGTGGTTGTCGAAGCGGCCACAGAAGGCGGGCAGCGGTGCCGCGCCCAGCGCAGCGTCGGCGCAGGCGTCTGCCTGCCCGGAGACGCCGCTGGAATTGAGGTCGGTACCGCGAAATGCGACAACTGCTCGACGCGTGCCAGGATGCACGAAGAGGAGCGCGCGCATGCCGGCGGGCGGATTGGCGGTCAGAGCACGCGTCCAGCCAGCCACGGTGGCGTTGGCCTCGCTCGCGTTGAAGTACGAACCAGAAGTGGACGTGTAGGCCAGCTTGACCATGATCGAAAGCGGCTCGGTGGCGGCGTGGAAGGCACTCTCGTTGCAGGTGGCGAGGCGGGCCACGCCGCTCCACGGTGACGACATGGCTGCTCCACCGGCCGGCAAATCCGAAAATACCATCGGGTCTCTGAGGTAAACAGCAATAGATCCGGGTGTAGTGCCGGATCAGTTCCTGGAGCCAGGGGGACCGATTCGCACTTGCCAAGGGACCAATTGCTGGAAGCCTGTGCAGCCTGCGCTCCCTCCGGCCGGCAGAGGGCTTGCGACCCGTGGCAGGGTGACAGCCCGCCGGTGGGCGAGCCAAACTCTGGCGGAGGCAGCCCGCTCAGCCCCAGGCGCCCCTCGAACCGGAGGGTGGTCTGCCGCCGCTGCGCGGTCGGCGCGCCGAGGGCGGGAGACATATCGCAGCTTCGCGCCACAGGTAACCTGGGGACCGATTCTCGACCCCAAGTTTGGCAGCGCGCGGGCAGTGTGAAGGATCGATTGCTGTACAACGAGGGACCGATTCCGTGAGGGCCGGGTATCGATTAGGCCGCTTGAGGGCCGGATCTATTGCTGTTTACCTCATCTTAAAATAGAGACCCGACGGTACCATCTTGTGGCCCAAAAGGGGCCGTCCGTTGTCTGCTGTGCCTTTGTGGTGCTAGTTCGTGCCAGTCTGCTGTGAGAGGGGCTTGTATTCGTAGAATTCTTTTCTGTTACTTCCATGTGCAAGTTCTCCATCATCCCGTGGTGATCAGGGGCGATCGCGCCTCAAGCGGGGGTGATCCTAAGGAGGGTTCCAAGCGAACCAGTTTAGACCAGTTTAGACCACTGCTAAACACGAACCAGATTAGTCCTGTTTACGATAAACTGGGTCTATCTAAACCTGGTATGGCTCAATGGGGTTCCTCCCCCCCTCCCCCCCGCGTAGCGCGCACCTCCCCCCCGCCTATAGCTCCCCTGCTCTGAGAGAGACGCGGCTCTCAGCGCGGCACGCGCAAGCGTCAGCGGCCTTGCTTCTTCTCGCGCTGGTCGATCGAGGTTGTGCATGGCAATCTTGACCGTCTCGAGGGTCCACGCGGCTCTTCCAACAGCTTCGCCGTGGGTGTCGAAGATCTGCTTGCAGAAGCCCCAGCGCGTCCCCTCATCTTTCGCGCGGTACGTCGGGAGCGAGGCCAGGAACATCGCCTGCAAGCATTTGGTGAGGGGCAGTGAGTACCACTGCTCAACCCAACACCACTTCTACTAGCGAGCGCACCTTTGCGGCCGGGTTGAAATCCACGCGCTTCCGCTTCTTGCCAGGCGCAGGCGCCGCCAGCTGGTCTGTCGCCGCGCCCGACGTCGCGCCCTAACACCGTGCGCCTGACCGGCGAGGCTGTTGTTGCGCGGTGCAAGTGTGCCAGGTGGGCTGTCCGGCCCGAGGCAGAGGATGGCGGCTGCACGCTGCCGCTTCCGCAGCCAGCGCGGCCGCGACCGACGGCGGAGCTGCTAGGGGCGCCCTAAACCGGGCTAAACCTGGTATGGCTAATGGGGTCCCCCACCCAGGCCGAGCCCTGTTTAGACCCAGTTTATCGTAAACAGGACTAATCTGGTTCGTGTTCAGCCGTGGTCTAAACTGGGTCTAAACATGGTCTAAACTGGTTCGCTTGGAACCCTCATATCCTAGCAAGATGGTGTGATCAGAGAGAGAGATTTTAGAAAACCAACAAGAAATCACGACTCCCACAGTGATTTGGGCTCGGCAGCTTGTCAGCTCTCAGCCGAAGCTGGGGCCGGTCCCGTAGCCGAGAGAGCCCGCGCCGATGAGATCGACGCGGTCGGCGGTCGGGGGGCCTTCGGGCCTTGCTTGCGGAGAGGCCAGCGAGATGGCGATCGCTGTACTTCATGGCGCCCTCGGTGGGGCGGCTGACAAGCCAGAGGTCGATACTCTGGTCGACCCATAGGATGCCACGAATGCCTGGAGGAGAGGGAGGCGAGGCCAGAGGCAGACTCAGCTGCTCTCGGGTGATCTCGCTTTGTGGTGGCCGAAGGACCCGATGGTCCTGTCACATTCGTGTTCCGAGTCGTGGGGGTAGAAGATTGCGGGGTAGGATCGAGTCAGCAATCCTTGTAGTACAGCGGACCGCCAGGCTCGCCGGCAGCATCCGCAGGGAGGCAGCATATGAGGCACCAGTCTTCTGGAGAGCTCAACAGCTGCGGCCGCGATGGTAGAGTCGGCCGCGGTTCGAGCGAGCAGCTTTTGGCTGCGGGATCGAATCGCGGAAGGCTCATGCCCTCGCGGAGCGACGCGGGTCGCGCGGCGCGCGCGTGTGCGAAATGCGACAACAGACGACAGACGAGAGGCGCCTGAGCGCTGTACGACTGAACGACCGTCGCCGCAATCGCCACCGCCGCCATTTTGACGAGCAGCGCGAGCGCGCTCGCCGGCGGCCAGCCGTCGCGGGCCGGGCCAGGGGCCACTGGCCGCGCCGCCGCAGCAGGCCGGGAGGCCCGAATGGCGGCCGACCAGCTGATATTGAGATTGATTCTTTCTTGTGATCAGGGATGATTGCCAGAGGAAGCCCCACGAGGAGGAGAGGTTGTCGAGGCTGCGCCCAACCACAACGAGGTAGCAACACCACCCCTCCCGGGGGGGGGTCCTCATTTATTGACGGAAAGCTCACAGAGCTCAACACCAAAAGAAAAAGAGAAAACATGGACAATAAGATGAGATTGCCAGATGAGAATGGGGGGAAGGACAGGCGAGCGACATTTGACGACGTCGGGGGTCACAATGTGACGACCAAAACGATCTTGGGAGCCAGGGTGAGACAACAGGACGGGGTGCCACACGGGGCACACCACAAGCGTATTCTAGAGGGGGAAAAGAAACGGGGGATGAGGGTCCCCGCCACGAGAAGTGCGTTCTGGGGATGCAGAGCGTGCAAGGCGGCTAGGGATGAGGCCACAAAAGAGGCGCGCGAGGCAAGGAGGAGAATCGGAGAACGGAGAGACTGGGACGACTGGACACAAGAAGACAGCGAGCCACCACAGGCGTCGTTGGCGCACCTACTGAGCGGCAGCTGCGCTGGAAATAAGGAAGAGGCGCGTCACTTCATGCGGAAGCTTGACAAACACACGGCGAGGGCGAGACAGCAAGAGTCGAACGGGTGGCGCCTGACTCAAAAGACACGGCGACATTCCTGAGACGCGCGAGAGCAGCCTCCTTAAAGGCAGTGGGGTCTAGATTTGGAGCGCTCGCCGAAGAGGAGTACGACAAAATAGCGCCCGTGATTGCCTGCACGCTGCCCGCACTCACGGACTCCATACCCGAAAGAAAGAGAGGGGAGCTCGCAGGAGAGGTGACGAGTGAACTACAGGTAGTGGGGAAGGCAGCCTCGATCGCCATACAGACATGGGTGCAACAACGACAAGACCAAGGCACGGGCAGAGGAGAGAGAGAAGAACATAGGATGGATTAGGGCGCCTGTTCACTGCATGGAGGGTGAGCCACGATCTGGCCACGATGAACGTAATGAACGTAGAGCCGAACGGGAGGAAGCCGGGGAAGACGACTCCGAGGAGGGCGACACACCTGTGGTAATCCCGTCGGCAGCTGTCACGATACACCCGAAGGGGACCCCAGCGCCAACATCATCTGTGGAAGTACAAGTGTCCGAAGAGACTGATTGCCAACTGATTGGTGCGATGGTGCCATAAAAAAGAAAATATGTGCACGCGCCTTGCTTCCGCAGCATCTCGCGCTACCTACCGCACCATTGCACATGAACGGCCCCTGGGGGGTGCTATCGTAAAGAAAGCAGCCGCGGTCTCAACGGTCGGTCTCCTCAAACCGGTCGGTCTCGCCACACACCGACAAAGCAGCGCGGCGTTTTGCTGGATGAGCTTGTTCACACCGAGGGTATTTGCATCGAAGCCGCGGGTCACCTGCTCCCGGCATGTTGGGCACGTGCCGTGCCGTCCCAGCCACGCCGTGATCGCGCGCCTCTCGAAGTTGCAGCCGCACGGCAACGTCACCGGCTCCTTCATGTGGCCATCCTGCTCGATGGGGCAGACTAGCGGGCAATCGCGATCGTCGGTTTCTGCCACCGCCACGGCCACCACCTCGCCGTCTCCGCTTGCCTCGTCCGCACGCTCCTGTGCCTCCGGGGTCAAGCGATCCCGTGCCTTCGCGGTCGAGCGCTTGCATGCTCCTGACGAAGAGGAACTCGCCACTGGCCGCTTTGCCCCCAGCGCGACTGCTGCGGAGCGTGTGGGCGGCGGCTGCCGCCGCTGCGCGCGGCCGGAAGGTGGCGCGCGTGCGGCGCCTTCGAGCTCGCGCATCGCCGCGTGCGCGGCCGCGACGCAGGACACGAGGGTACCGGCCGGGGCCTCTGAGGTCAGCACACGCGTGTGTCGGATCTGGAAGTGGTTGTCCTCCGGCACGTCTCCGATGGTGTACGCCACGCGCGAGGCGTCGAGGGCGCGCGCGAGCGCGTCCTCGATGTGCCGGCCGGAGCGGTCCTTTCCGAGGCACACCCGTCCACGCACACGCCCCACATCGTGGACGAGCACCAGCCGCACCAGGCAGGTGTACTTCGTCTCGCCCGGGAAGAGTATGTTGACATGCCCGGTGTGGGGGTCCACCGTGGCGTCCGGGCAGGCGGCGAACGCTGCCTGGAGCTGCGCACGCTCCGCCATCGCTCTGTCTCGATCGCTCCAGCGTGGCTGCACAGGAGGTGACGATTCGGCGGAGGCGTTGCCCAGCACTGCCTTCACCAGCGATGCTTGGTCGGCGCAGGACATGGTCTCAGTGAACAGGAAGCGCTTGTGTCGCCCTCCGTTGGCGCCCCACGTGCGTACCTCCCCTCCCTCTCCAAGCTCGGCGGCAATCAGACTCGCTGCGTCCGGCGTCATGGACACGTGGAAGCGGCCGCCTTTGAATAGGCTCACGCAGAAGGAGTTTCTGCGGACCACCGACTCGGCGCCAAAGAAGAGGTTTGAGTGCCTTTTCTTGCGATCCACACGGAAACCAGCGCTCTCGAACGCATCTTCGAGACGCGCGCGATGCTCATCGGCGGCGGGCGCCATCGGCCGTTCGCAGGCCTACAATGTATTGCGGGCGCCAACCGCCAGGCTCCGTCTCCCGCGCGCGATCGAAGCGTTATTTTTACCCCCGAGCCCCCACACCCCCACCACCACCACCTCCCTATTGCGGGGCCCTCTGGGGCGGTCAAAACCGGACCTACCTACCTATTGCATAGGGTCTAACAGGGGTCAACAGTTGACCCCCTACAGCGGGTAAAGGAGCCGGAGGAACCCGGTGGGTGGGTGGGTTGTGCGGGCATTAAGAAACAGGATTTCGCGGCACGCCGCCGTTTCTAGGCCTTTCCACACCCCTCACCCACCCCAAGCCGTGGTTTCTTAGGACTTAGCTCCCACACGGCCGGCAGCTCTCTCGCTCTTTCTCTCTCTCAGGTTCAGAGCCGGCCCTACATGCACATGCACATGCACACAGTAAGGATTTTTAGGCAAGAGAGAGGTGCGGTCCGTCCGCCAGTCTGCCAACGACTCGGGATGACGGGAAGACGCACACGCCTCCATCCACTCCGCTCAGAACACAACAACAACACCGCAGACTTGGAATGTCGAATGAATGACAAGTGTGCGCGCCGCAGGCGAAGAGAAAATTTGAGCTGGGGAACCCGTTCACACGACACTCGTGTCTGGTGCCTGGCCTTTTCTCGGGGCCGCGCCTGCGGCGCGCCGTGGTTTCTCAGATTTGCGCGGGTACGCTTTCTTAAAAAAAACCCTAAACGGCTGTGGTTCCCATATGGGAACTTCGCCCAATTCTGTGAAAGAGATAGCTGGACGGCTGGTCGCAGCGACGGCCGATCCAGCAGTCGTCTGCGACATGGCAGTGGCCCCGGCTCATGTGCAGCTGGTCCCGAGCGGCTCAGGTCCCAGATCGAATCTCGGACCCACAGATTCTAGATTCCTTTAGATTCCCTGGATTCCCGCAACAACGATCTCTTAGCGGCGGCAAACAGAGGCGCAACTCTGCCAGCAGCGAGGAGGCTCCTGCTGCTCAGCTACCGAGGCCTGGTGGCGTCGGCTGCTGCGTGGAGAAGACAGCAGCACTGTCCGACCTCAAAACATGCACAACAAGCGGGATTTGTGACTCTGTCCTCCATTCTTCAGTCGCTCTGCCGGACGCGCTCGCTTTGTCGCGAGGGTCACCAGTGCAAGCCGTGTGGACGCCCAGAATAGCCTCCCCTGGCTTAGCTAGAGTGAGAGATATTGTGAACGTGGTCAGACTCTACAATATATACACTGACACTTTACCTCCCAGAGCTCGTCTAGGTCCGCCACGGCCATCCTCAGCCTCCAGAGGGCCCCCGGCCGCGGCGCGGTGCGGCGGCGTCACAAATCCGACGTCAGTTCACCGGGACACGATCGGGCGATCTGAAGTCCAACTAGGCGTATGGATTGTCCGCCCAGGGCTATCACCTGGACCCCTCAATGGACGCCTGCGGTGCCGCCCCCACGAGGTGTTGTTCACACCTGTCCAACCATTCGTGCAGCAGGAACGCGCTGTGTGTGGCTGGCAGCAAACTCAAATGACGACGGGTTGCAGCCTCGTAGCTCAACGGCAACATTGTGCATGAGGAAGGCTGATAGAAGTAGCACCAGCCACACAACCAACAGCTTCTGGAGAGTATGCGGAGCGCAAGCAGCCGGTGATCAAAGGCGTGTTGCTGTCGGTGGCAGATTGCCAGAGGGACGCCGGCGCCTCGGTGCTGGCTTCGTCACAATTTTCCACCGCTCAACTTGGAGGCAGTGTGTCTAGTAGCGTGTTACATCTATGACGGCGGACCTCACTGGGGCGCCGACGTGCGACGACCGTCTGGGATCGAAAGACGAAACCGCGTCCCAGGAGCTCGTGCAGAGCGCGCTCCGGAGCTCGGTGGCGGGAAATTTTAAGGGAACGTGGTGGCTTCCCACCGCCTCTGTATGTGCCCAATAAAGTGCTAACACGACCCTCGGGCAGCAGGGGGTATGTGGCGAGCGCACGGAGGCACATTTAGGCCGCCGTGATATCGCCCTTCCGGGCACCCCGTTTCGGTAGCCGTTTAGGGGTTAATGCCCGCAACCCACTGTAGGTCTACGAGCGTCATCATTCAGACATCCCACCCCCCTATTGCATACCAGGGAACCAGGGTACTTCGTGGGCCCCGGCCCGCCGGTCGGTGGTCTGCCCCCGAGGTGGTCCGCCCCCCCCCCCCCCCCTCCGGTCAGTCGCTCTCTCGGCGACGGGAGGTGTGACGACCGAGCCCCCCCTCGGTCGGTGTCCTTGCCCGTGTGAGTCCCTCACTGACTAGGCCCCTCAATCAACGCTCTGTTCCGTTCTCGCCGCTTATCATGTAGAGTTTGTTGTATCTAGATAGAGATTTTGCGTTGTTGAGCGCCTCTAATCACTAATCGCTCTCCATAGTACTCCATAGGAGGCGCTTCGACCTTCGTCACGCGCCGGAGATGTAGAGCTCTCCTCTTACTACAGCTCCCCCGGTCGTTAGACCGCATCGTTGGAGGCAGCCAATCAGCGCCTTACGCGCGCGGCCGGCCGGGCCGTGAGAATGGCCGAGGAGGGAGGACGATTGTCCCTGCGCCATCAGTCAACGTACGAGCCGCCCTCCCCGCTCCCCTCCTGCTCCCCACAGAAGTCTGGCGGCGCGGAGTCGGGACTCGAGGAAGCGATAATTAAAAGCGTGACTGCAGCCACACTGGGAGTCGGTCGGGGGACTGCCCGCCCCCACACCACCAGAGACCCCAAGTGTGAGCAGTCCACGTCAGTGTCCAGCCGCCGCGTTGTTCGGTGTCGCTCTGTCGGGGAGGGGGGGGGGGCGTGTCTCTTGGGGGGGGGGCGTGTCCAAGACTCCAATGAGGGATAATCGGCCGTGGTAAAGTTATTCTGCGGGGGCTCTGTGCGAGCTCCACACCACCCGTGATGACATATACATTCTTCGACGCGAGTGGCTCAACTATATTTAGCGACGCGCGTCATACCGTCAACGCGTGACTGCATCGCTACGGGCGGGCAGCGGCGGCCGCAGTGCCGCGCCGCGGGGTCACACCAAGTTAACGCCTCTGTGCTCTGGCAGCGTGTAGCGGGTCGTGACGCCTACGCCCCCCCGCAATTCGGGGTTTTAGTTTGACCTTCCTTTTTACCCATCTCACAGTAGAGAGGTGTCCGTTTTTATTTATTTTAGCATCACGGGAGAGTACCTGTACGAGCCTTTTTGACCCAGTAGGCCGCAGCGGAGGGCGCCCACGTGCCTCACCAACAGGTGCGCGAAAGGTCCATTTTGGGGGTCTTGTGGGGCGCGGGGGTGGGGGTCACTAGAACCGGGTGTGGGGGGCACTTATCACAGTGGAAGGTTTTGACAAATGTGATACCCCCCCGCCCTCAAGTTGTCTGTTGCGTTGTGAGCACCGGCGACCGTCTGGGAATGGTGGACTAAAAGCGCAGAGTTTTCAGATCAGACCAAGGAGTGTGTGCTGCGAACGTACTCTCAATAGCTGAACGTGGAACGTACCCGGAATGGACCTATGGAGACCCCGCGGCCCTCACGCCTGACGCCTCAGACCTCAGAGCTCAGTTGGTCAGTACACTCAATAGGATAGTACACAAGTACGCTGTAAAGTACAGTACGAAAAACACTGTGTCTGGACTCTAAAAAATGAGCAAAAACGGGGCAAAAGAGGGGGGGGCGAGGTCACGGCCCCTTCCGTTCTGGCCCTCTACTCATGGTCATCCCCGCCGCCGAGTCGCTGCTCGGCCGACCAGTCGCTTGGCCCTTCCTCGTCGCTGCCGACGCGGCGCCGCGAAGATGACGACCAGCCGACGGCGGGCGAAGCGGCGGCCTCCAGGGCCGCGCGGTGGCCAAACTCGGCGGCGCTCTCCGCGGACGGCCACTCCTGCACCGCCCAGAACCCGTTCGACGTGGTCCCTCGGACGGGGGAGCGCAGCGGGGCGGCAGGCGAGCTGAGCAGGCTCAAGTTGGCGAAGGCCACCGCCGTCACGGCGTCGGCGCGTCGCGTAAACGTGCGCGGTGGCGTCGCCGACGACGGCGACGCTGAGCCAAGGGCCCCAGCCTCGGCCACGCCGCGCCCGCGCGAGGACCAGGGAGCTGGCGACACCGAGCCAGGTACAGGTAAGTTGCAGCTGCGCGCCCGCTCCCTCGGGCGAGGTGACCTCCTCGTGCCGGCGAGCGCGAAGTCTGGCACGCGCACGTCGGGCCGGGCGGGATTCGAGACCGGCGTGCCGTGAGGGCTGCCGGCCCAGGCGGCGTGCCACCCGTGGGCGGGCGAGGAGGGAGGCACGGGCAGCACCGGCTGGGCGGGCAATCTCGGAGGCACGGGCAGCACCGGCAGACCTCTCTCTCGCTGCGGCACCCGCTCTCGCTGCGGCACCCGCGACGCCCACGGCCGCCCAGCAGCAGCCGCCAGCTCTGCCGCCTTCCATGAGAGCGGGTCCACCTCCGAGACAGCATCGGCAGCCGCTGCGGCCTGCTGCGCCGAGTCGTTGGACGAGAAGATCATTGATTCGGACGACTCGGGCGTGAGCGTGAGCGGCGAGCCTGACAGCCTGAGCGTGCATGGCGAGCTAAGCAGCGTGAACAGCCTGGCACGGGCTCGCCGCCAGCCCTGACGCTCGTCTATCGCCGCTAGCTCCTCCAGAATTTGACGGTGCCGCGCATCGGCTTCGGTGCGGGTGACGAGGTGCTCCACGGTCAACAGGACGTCAGGCTCGACTCCGAACAGCGTCGCCGCGCCTGCTCTGCTCTGCTGCGGCATCGATGAGTCGACGCTACCTTTATTTGAAGTTTCGCACGATCTCGGAATTACCCTAAATGATAATTGCTAAGAAGATTTACTAGCGTAGCGTCGCTATGAAATCACCGAAATTCGTTAAAATGAGTACATGTGATTCACTTGACATCAGATGGCCAGGGATGGATCAAGTTAGGATCAAGCAGTGGGAAGGGGACACGCTTTGGCGCCGCGGGAGCGATCTTGTTGCTCACCGTCAGCACGCCGCACGCCTCCTCAGAGGCCTTGCCCACCTCTCCAGATGTTGCGAGGACGCCACCCGGCATGGCCGGTCCTGTGGGTGCCTGCACCTAAATTCACACCATCGTGTTTCGTGTGTGGCACACTCGCTCGCGGACCGACGGTGTTGGCGCTTGTTGCCCCGATGCTGGCGGCGGAGCTGAAGCGGGCACGTTTGAAGGCGGGAGCCTCGGCGAGCGGAGGCTCGCCCGCCGACGCGAGCGTCGGCCCCACCTCGTCGCAGCCGCTCACGTTTGAGACGCTGTCCAATTTTTCCGGCGGCCACCACGGCGGCGAGCTGAGGGCGATGTCGCTGCCTGCGGACACGCACATGATCCCGCTGTCCGCGATCCCGCCCAAGCCCCGCGTCCGCCCCTCGCCCGCGCCTTCGCTCAACCTAGCCGACTTCCCCATCCTCGAGCTGCCCGAGCCATCGCTCGGCGAGAGTGCAAGCTTCTCCGCCTCTCCACCGGGCACGGTGGTGGCGGACGACGACACGGTGGACGCGGTGCACGTGGAGGAGAGCGGTGGAACGTGCGCGCGCGCTCCGCCGCCGCCCCCTGCCGCCCCTCGCCGCCGTTTGCTAGGCACCGCGTCCGACGCGCGCCCGCCGCCGTCCCACGCCAGGTCTCTTTTCGTGCCTCCGCCCCGCGCGGAGAATGTCTTCGTGGCGGCCGCCTCGGCGCCAGCGTCGATGCTCTGGGGACCTCACGCGCACAAGCACGGGAGGCGCGCGCCCCTCTCGCCCCCGTGACGTGCCTCCCCTGCTCCCCGGCTGCGCCCCCCCCCCCCCCCCCTCTTCTGCCAGGCGATGCAGCAACACCCGCCCACGTGACCCGCAAACGCACACCCCCTCGTGCGACCGCCTCCCCTACTGCTGGCGCCCCCCCGACGCATGCATCATCGACGACCCATGGCTTTGTACACTCCCCTCTCCCCTCCCCGGAGCTGACGCGTGTCGCGACCGGCCTCTGCGCCTCCTCCCGCCCCTCCCCCTCCTCCCCCGAGGCGGCCATCCCCCGCCGCCACGTGGCCGAGTGCATCGGCCGCGGCGCGCGCGCTCGGATTCGAGCACCGCGCTGCTCTCTGCATCGAGACGTTTTGTGCTATATGCGGGCGCCGAGCCACATAGGCTCTCGTGTGTGCCGCCTTCCTCGAAAAGTGTGGTGCTGTCTTGCGACACTTTTTAGCCGCGCGGTGTCCGCGAACTTTTTCGGCGTTTCTTTTGGACACGTTTGTACACAGGACAGTGAAAACAACGCCCCCCAGGTGCCCATACGCATAGCGCATTTTTCCCCCGCCGGGGCTTTTTGGTTTTTGCTTTTTCCGATGAGCGATGTGACACATCTTGTGTGTTGTGTCCGCGCACCGCACGCCCCCTCTCGGAGGCGGGCGCGCGGCCCGGGCGTGGGCCGGGGGCGGCGGCGGGGGGTGCAAGCCGCGCGGCTGCACCTCCCCGTCGCCGACACACACCGTCCCCGCACGCCGCCACGCTCGCCAGCGCTCTCTCTCGGACGCCCTCCCCTGCACACGCGCCCCCGGCCAGGTCCACCGACTGGCGAGACCGCAGCGTGACGCTCGCGACTCCGCGCGCCGTCCATCGCCACAGAAATAACACCGTGGCCCCTTTCGGGTCTCGGCTCAAGTCTCCGTCCCCCGCCCTCCGGCCACGCGTCATGGCAGCGTCTCATGGCAGCGTCAGCCCCAGGCGGCCGGGTCGCGCGGGCTCGCTTCCAGAAGCTCCTTCATGTTGCGCAGCCGCATGCTCGCGTCGTCCTTCTTGCGCAGCACCTCGGCCTTCTCCGGCGCCGCCTCCGCTTCGCCGCCGGCCGTCACGTTCGCACCCGCGGCGCGCAGCTGCAGTCGGAGAGAGGCAGTGGCGTGTGGGGAGGTGCGGGGAGGTGCGGGGAGATGTGGGGAGGTGTGGGGAGGTGCGGGGAGGTGCGGCGAGGTATGAGGTGCGGGGAGGTGCGGGGAGGTGCGGGGAGGTGCGGGGAGGTGCGGGGAGGTGCGGGGAGGTGCGGGGAGGTGCGGGGAGGTGTGGGGAGGTGCGGGGAGGTGTGGGGAGGTGTGGGGAGGTGCGGGGAGGTGCGGGGAGGTGCGGGGAGATGTGGGGAGGTGTGGGGAGGTGCGGGGAGGTGCGGGGAGGTGCGGGGAGGTGCGGGGAGGTGCGGGGAGGTGCGGGGAGGTGCGGGGAGGTGCGGGGAGACGTGGGCGTGGGGGAGATTGCACCTCGCGCGAGAGGGAGAGGTCGAGATCGTACGACAGCCGCTCAGTCGCAGCCTCGAGCTCGGCCTAAAGGGGGGGTGGCCACCGGGGCGGCTTGTGGACGTGCCCCGACGCGCGTCCTTGGGACGTCTCCTGGCCACGCGAGAGCTGACTGCTGCTCCGCCTGCAGATTCTCGAAGATTGCCTTGGCGTGTCGCCCGCCCTGCGTCTCCCCGCTCCCGCCCGCGCCCGCGCCGCCGCCACCGTCCGCCGCTGCTGCCGCCGCGCCGCTCGCCGCCGCAAGGCTCGCCGCCGCGCCACTCGCCGCCGCGAGCCCCGCCGCCGCTCCACGCGCCACCCCGGCCAGGAGGCGAGTGCTGAGCGACCCCTCGCCCGGCGGCGGCGGCGCGCGGCGGGCAACGCCGGGCCAGCCTTGCTGGCCGGCCAAGTGCGCCGCGACGATCCCGACCGGCGGGTTGCGCCGCAGCTGCTGCCGCTGCAGCCGCGCCTCGTCAGCGTTGCTCGGCGGGAGAGCGGGCGGCGGCGCGTGGGCCGGCGGCGGCGCGTGCGTCTCGTCCGGCTTTGGGATGTAAAAGGCGAAGGGGTACGTGTTCTTGAGCAGTCGGCGGCAGGCGATCAGCACCTCGACCGCCTCCCGGAGGTAGTCGAGCTCGATCGCCGTCTGGCCGGAGCTCGTCCGCGACAGCTCCTCGCCTGACGAGTCCACCGCTGACTCGTGAGGGACGGGGCGTGGCCGGATCTCCGCACCCGAGAGAGGCTCGCCAATCTTGCGCGAGACGCTCTCGCGGAGCGCCGTCTCGAGCTCCTGGCTCTTGCGGTGGCCGTCGTACCGGTCAAAGTAGTGCATAAAGTACGCGAGGTCGTCCTGCGCGGTCCCGGCTCCGGAGGGCGGCGGCGCGTTGCACGGCTGGCCGTGGTGCGACTTGTCGGTCGAGAAGCAGAAGAAGCAGAACTGGTGGCCGCAGCGGCAGGCGATCCAGTTGCAGCCTCCGTTCTTCTCAATGTGCATGTGGCACTTTGGGCACCGCTTCGCGTTCGCGCTCATCCACTGCCCCGTCGCCGAGTCGTCCTTGACCTTGTCTTCCCAGCGCGTGAGCGTCTCGCACAGCAGCGGCGCGTGCGCCTCGCGCGAGCACTGGAAGCAAAAGGTCATGCCGCACGCACACGCGCACTCGGTGCGCGAGAGGTCGCGCACCTTGATCACGAAGTCGCACCCCGGCGCGGGGCACCTGTCCGCAGGCGGAGGGGCGCGTCAAGCGCCGTCCTCTCCCAACCATGCCCGCCGCAGCGGCCCCTCTGGCGCGGCGGTGGGAGGACACGGGTCTGGGACACAAGTCTGGTCAGCGAGGCGGCGTGGGAGAGAGGCGCGCCACTTCAGCAGCGGAGAGTCGTCCACGAACTGCCGCTGCGCGAAGCGCGCGAACTTTGCGTACGAGGCGCCGTCGAGGAGCGCCTGGGCGAGGGCGGGCTCGACGAGCGCCGTGCACTCGTCGTGCATGCACCGGATCGCCTGCGCGTTCCCGTCTCCGAGCTGCGCTGTGAGGTGCATCTTCCAGCACGAGTTGCAGAAGCGGTGCCCGCACCGCAGCGCGGAGCCGTCGGTCGCACAATAGTCGGCGAAGCAGACGCCGCACTCGAAGGAGTCGGTCGACGGGCCCGCGTCGCTCCGCTGCCGCTTCACGCCGGCTTTGTCGAGCGCCCGCTCACGGTCGGAGAGGACCTCCTCGATCAGCCGCTCCTCTTTCCACGCGTACCGGCGGAGGAGGGAGGAGGCCGCGACGCGGCTCAGGTCGAATAGGCCCGCGATCTTGTCGATCTGCTGCTCCTGCTCGTTTGCAAGATCAACGCCGCTCATCACGATCGCGTCGTCCTCCTCGCTGCATGCGCCCGCGTCCTCGGTCTCCTCCACATCAAAGGCAGCGTCGTCGTCGTCGTCGTCAGAGTAGCCGTCGTCACTGCGCTGGCTCCATGACTGCGAGGAGCGGCACATGATGACCGAACCCTGCCAAGTGGATGGTCAAGCAACTCGCACCCCAGCCAGGCCTTGCCAGCCGCGGCAAATTTCTTTTAGTTCTTCGATTTCTTTCTTTACTCTTCCAGAGAAGTGCCCGTTTTTATTGCGCAACCCTAGCCGAGCTCCGTTTTGACACACTGTGCACCTGCCCCTCGGTGCGCGCCGTTTGGTTCGATCGAATTTCGGTGGCACCTCAGTTCACAGTTGCACCTCCCCTCGGTTGGCAGGCTGCAGTGGAGGAGGAGAAGAAGAAGGAGGAGGCAGCGGCAATGCCAGCACTATCCCAACTGATCAACCAAAGGCGTCACCATCTACTCTGATGAGACAAACACGCCCGCGACAAAAACAAGTACCACACCGTCCGCGGCGGCTACCTGACTGAGTTCTACCCCAAGAGCGTCCCGCTCCCCGAGCCCGAGTCCCTTCCAGCTACCGACGCGATTCTCAATGGCACTTGCAAATCCATGTACCCGCGGCCGCGGGCGCTCGCTGCCATCAAGAATCACAAGGACTGGTACGCGCACCAGGAGCTCGTCAAGGCGCGGGACGTGCACGTCAAGAACAACCCGTCCCTCGGAGACAGCGCCGTCAACAACCGCGAAGCCTCGCGCTTCGTCTCCGCCTCAACGCCTTTCGCCGGCAAAGCCCTCGATGTCCGTGTCGACGGCACGTACGCCACCGCCCTCTCCTCCGACGCCCTCCAGGACGAGCTCCAGCGGAAGCTCGGCCTTTGGCTCTCCGTGGCGCTTCCCACCCTTCGGGTCGCGCTCGAGCGGGGCATGCCAGTCGATTTCTTCGGCGACTACCTTTACAACAAGGCCCACCACCGGCGGCCCCACGACGGCGTCCTCGCCGCCTGGGCGGACGCGATGCGCGCCCCGGCCAACGCGCCGGTCGTGCACGGTGACAAGGAGAAACCATAGCTCACCCGGCAGTACAACGAGGGGTACAAGGTCGACCTCGCGGAACCCCACGCTGGCCCGGGAGGATGCGATGAGGTGAATGAAGTCAAGCTCTGGACGCCCCTCCTCAAGACCTCCTCGACGGGCGTTGGCAACGCCTCGAGCGGCGGCACGCCCGCCTCCGTTGGCCACTCCTACGCCTTCGGCAACACCGAGGAGAAGGCCCGCCGCCTAAACATGGGCTGCAAGGCGCGCGGGCAGCCCGGCCAACCCTTCGACCACAAGAACGGCCACGGCTACGTCAAGGCGCATCGCGGTTTCTACCTCGACGCGATCTTTGTCAAGCGCAACAACTTCAACCTGCTGCTCCACGAGACGTTCGGCGGCGGCTTCTCGCCCACCGCCGTTCTCAAGCTGCGCCGCCTCGCGCGCAAAGTCGCGCGCGGCAGCGTCGACCGCACGGCCTACTCGCCCAAGTACTCGCTCTCTTTTATGTCCCACCATGCAGAGCGCATCTCTCTCTCTGTTGTGCGAGGCGTGAACCGCGCCATTCGCTCTCACCTGGCAACCCTGTCTGCACGTCTCGCGCGCGCGTGAACAGGGCTCCAGGCCCCAAATGACGTGTGAGTGTTAGAGTTGTTTGGTATTGCTAAAAATCTCTCTCTCTGATGAGTGTTGCCCCATTCCCTCTGCGCATGTCTTGTCGCCCTAGGGGCTCGGGCCCAGCCCTGAACTCCTCACGTTGCAGAGTGTCCCTTGTAACGTGAGAGATAAGACAAATAAATAGAGCAGGCATCTCCACCTCCAGGAGATATGGGCGACGCACGAACACAGAGGCACAGTGCGCACCCCGCCCCGCAACGTCAGAGAGTGTGTTGTGTGTTCTCTTCTTTGCGCGCCAGTCCCGTGCCCGGTGTCGTGCGAGCGAGTTGGTGTTAGGTTAGGTTAGGTAGGAAGGTGAAGAACAGCCAGGCTCGGACTGGACACCAACGCGGTATGGGTGGGACGCGAGACAGATGATGACGACACGCACGAGCGACACACAGACACAAACAGGCTCACAAGACACACAGCCAGTTGGCTGCCACACACCCTGAGTTGGCGTACACATAACTCAGGGCCAGTCACGGGTGATGCTCCGATAAACTCTCCGGATCTTCGACAAAAGCAGGACATTTCTTTTTTCAAAGTGCAAGGTGTGAATATGAGGTTTATGATAGGGCTACTACGACGAACTATGCGGCAATCGACTGGGGCGCAGGGCCCCAGCACATCCCGCGCAGAGACCTCGTAGTAGCCCTCCCCGTAACCGACTTTCCCGACTACCAGCGGAAGCTCTCCCTGACCGGGATCAGTGTGCCGCGCAGTTCGATGGGAAAGACAACTACCATCAGACTGCCGAGTGGCTCACCAAATTCGGCATCTTGCGCGTGCACTGGACGCTCGAGTCCATGCACGGCAAAAACATCTGCGATGCGCTGAGCAACCTGCCGTCGAACGCGATCACTGAGGCGATCCGGTCGGGCAATTTCATATTCTCCGCGGCTCTCGCAACGTCGTCCTCTATCTCGCCAAGGCACGAGCGACCCCGGCTGTCGCGAAGTCGTTCAAGGAGGGCTGGTGGGCGATCGAGCGCATCTTCTACGGCTTCTTTCAGCACTCCAAGTTCACCGCCCTTGCCGTCCCCAAGGCTGATGGCTTCAACGGCTCACACGACGTCCACATGTTCGCGGGGGATTGCAAGGATGCGGCCGCCGCGCGGAAGGATGGTCTCCTGACCACGTACGCTAGTATTGAGCCGTGTTATGCTCATCGTGCCGTGCCGTGTAGTGTGCCGTGTGTTGCCGCACGTCACGCGCCCCTCCTAACCCCCGCACCGGCTCCCTGTCACAGGCGCGGTATTCCATGCGCGTGCCCGCCGTGCATCGCTCTTCTTTGGGGGGACTGCGAGATGGTCGCCGTCTTTGGCAGGGTCAAGAAGCAGAAGGCGCCGCGTGCCGCAGGCGAGACGGCCGAGCTGCGGCAGATGGAGTCGCTGGAGGTGTGGGCCGCGTCGCTCAAGGCGAAGCAGCTGTCCGCTGTCCGCGCAGATCGGCGCGAGCAGTCGCTCGAGGGGCTCTACTGGCTGGCGGTGCTCAAGGGGAAGGCGTACACGCTGGCCGAGGACACGGTCGTCAACACCGACACCATCCCCGCGGGCTATCTCGTGGTCAAGGCGCAGTGGCTCAGGCTCGAGCAACGCGAGTGCGAGGGCAAGCTTCGCTGCTCGAGGCCGAGACGCTCATCATCGTGGGTGAATCACATGGTGCGGCTGGCGGGCTTGCGCTTCTCGCCCGGCCCGGGCGGCCCTTCGGACCGCCAGCTGAGGAGCGCGCGCGAGAAGCTCTATTATATTGGCCTACAGACGCATTACTCGCTCGAGGCGTGCTGCAGTGAAGACCAGTCTTATTGAACTTGTCGTTGGAGGTGTCGATTTGTGCAAAAATGTGTGTTAGATAGCGCCTAGATGGCAAAATTTTCTTCGCCTCCGGCGGGGCCGCTCGCCGCGGGGCTAGAGAGTGACTTTTGTCGATGTCGGCTAGAAGTGCTGCACGTTTTTCAGAATTTCACCCACAGTCGTCCTCCCTGTCGCCTCCCCCAGCACACACGGTGCCAAAAGGGCACAAACAAGAGCACAACAACACAACAGACGACAGGGAGTAACGTGCGAGGCTAGAGCAGACCGCTCCGCCTCTAGCAATCTCGCCGGCCGCAAGGCACGGACAAGACCGTGTGTGGGGTCTTGTGAGGCGTCTATGGACGCTCCCTCACAGCCGCTAGCGACCAACTGCTAGCCCTAACTCGCACTCATGGGTGGTGTCAGTTCATTGTGTGAGTGTATGCGAGCAGAAGCGCGTGTGCTAAATCTAGGCCGCAACGTCGTGGCATATGACTTGGGAGGCGTGCGACCGCAGCGCGCCCGTCGTAAGGTCGACGGGGCGCGCGTGTCAGCGAGGAGAGTTGCGGGCGGAGCCATACCCGACTTTTCGAAGACGAGCCTCCCCGCGCCACGGTTGCCAGCCGTGCCTTCGCGGGAGTCGCCCCTCGAGCCGCGTCCCGTCGGCACTGTCCCTGAGTTTGCAGCACACACACACTCGACGAGGGCAGTCTTTCTTCCGGCCGACGGGAACGTGTCGCGCGCCGGCGACGGTTGCGGCGGGGTGGGTGTGTGTACGAAGCGCCGATGGCACGACCACCGCCCTGCATGGAAGGCCGGGCAAGGGGACGGCCCGCGCACGTTCCGCGAGCTTGTGCCAAATTCTCTTCAGGGTACTGCGGCGCTCGAATTCTCTCTCGGGGCGGACCGACATACCATACGCAAGGCCATGCGTGGGCAGCCAGGCGAGCTGGATTCCTATCGGGGCGAGGGTGGCACGGTATATCCCTTCTACACTGCCAACGAGCAGTCGTTTGACGACGACGACACTCCACCGCCAACGCCAATGTGGAGCAACCTGCCACCACCCGCGCCGCCAGAGACGGCTTCCCGTTGGAAGGCCGTGCGCAAGCAAATCTCGGTGGCGGGGCGCTTCTGGTCGGCCGGCCAGGATCGCGCCGAGGAAGCCGCCGTCTCAGCGCTCTCGGAACTGCTGCAGGGGCTCGTGGCGCAGGGCGCACTGTCGCTCGAGCGGCGGCTGGTTGAGCACCGCGACACGCCGCCGGGCGCGGTGTGGCCGCACGGCTGGCCGCCGCGCTACACGCAGCGTGTGCTTCAGCTGCCACTGACAGAGGCGCCGCATCCCTTCCTCGCGCCGCCAGCCGCCGCCGCCGCCCGCGCCTTGGCCGCCTCACCCCGCCGCTCTCGACCCGCCTGCCGACCACTCTCCCGCCGCGACGCATCCACCGCCCGCCGCCCGCCCTCCCGCCGGCAGGCGTCCGTCCTCGACCTCGTCGCGGACCTGAGCGCCGGCGCGCTGCCGCCGCTGCAGTACGTCGCGGGGCTGCTGCATGCGGCAAAGGCGTCGCTGGCGCAGGCGCGGAGAAGGAGACGCCTCTCTGCGGCTCCGCGCCATTAGCAGCAGCAGCCGCCGCCACCGCCGCAGCAGCAGCCGCCGCAGCCGCAGCCGCTGCCGCTGCCGCTGCCGCTGCCTTTGCCGCAGCCGCAGCAGCAGCCGCCGCAGCCGCAGCAGCAGCAGCTTTCCTCTCGCGTCTCTCCCCTCCGCCTCGCTTCCCCTCTCCTCGATGCCGCCGCAAGCAGCAGTGCCGCGCACGTGCCCATCTCACCGCCTCCCCCCACCCCCACCCACCTCCCTCCCGCCCCTCCCGGCCCCAGCTCCCAAACGTCCTACGCCACGACGTGCCGACCGGTTGCGCCGTCACCGTCGTCGGCGACCTGCACGGCCAGTTCGGAGATTTGCTGCACGTCCTACGCAGCAGAGGCGCCGCGGGAGCCGCGGTAGCGAGTCCCTAGCGAGGGGACCAGCCCGCCCGTGCATGTGAGCCTGGTGTGTGCGCGCAGGAGAAGATTCCCCCCCCCCCCCCCTGCATTGGCATCACGCACATGCGCCACCCCACCTCCGCCACCTCCGCCACCTCCGCCACCTCCGCCACCTCCGCCACCTCCGCCACCTCCGCCCGCCCGAAGGTGCCGGAAGGCTTCCACTGGCCGTACGGGCCAGGGAGGCACCTCGCGACCGTCTTCTCCGCCTCAAACTACGCGGGCAAGACGCTCAACAAGGGCGCGTACGCACTGCTCGGCGCGACCGGCTCGCGCCTCTCCGACCCCGCCTTGAGTCCGCTGCCGCTCGACGCCGCGCCGGGCGCCGCCGCGCCGGCGGCCAGCCCCGCCGCCGAGGAGGAGGGAGCGACGGCGGAGCACCCGTTCGGAGGGTTGCGGTTCGTGTCCTTCGACGCGGAGGAGCTGCCGCGGCTGCGCGTGTCGCAGCGGCGCCACCAGCTCGTCGCGTCCGCCGTCCTCGCTCAGCGCGATGAGCTGCTGGCTGCGTACCAGGCGGCCGACTGCCACCCTTAAAGGGGGGGGGGCATCCTTGCTGCACCGTCTTGAGCGTCGTGCTCTGCCGTGAATAGGCGGCCGACCGGGGGGCGACGGGCGAGCTGCCCGTCGATGTGTGGGAGGAGGAGACGCGGCGCGTGTTGCGCACGCCGCCGATGCTGCTCCCGCCGATGCGCTGCTTCTTGCTCGGGCGGGACTGGGGTGGGTCGCCGACGGTCCGCTACCAGGCTTTCCTCGGCCGCTTCCGGCTGGCGGTGCCGCAGCTGGCGCCGCTGCTGCCGTACCGGGACTACCTCGTACTGCTTCTCGCCAACCTCGACGCCAAGCGGAGCGGCGCCGTCTCGTCGCGCCAGTTCGCCGCTGCGTGCAAGGCGTTGCATTCGCAGTTTGGCGCGGCGGCGGCGCTGTGCGCCAAGCCGGAGGAGGTGCTGGCCGCGATGGGGATGGCGGCGGGGCGGGGCTCGCGGGAGGGGAGCGTCGCCATCCGGAGCGTGGCGGCGCAGCTGTGCGTGCTGGTGGCCGGCTGCCCGGGGGCGGGCAGCACCTCGCTGAGCGGCTTCCTCTCGCGGCTGTCGACGGACGAGATTCTGCTCGCGGCGCAGCCGTCGCCGGAGACGCCGCGGGGCGGTTCGGCGGGCGAAGCGGGTGATTCCTCCTCCGCGCCGATGGAGGAGGAGGACGGGGGGGCGGAGGAGGCCGGCGACGGGCGAAGCATCTCGCCGCCGCGCCGCTCCTCCTCCTCGACGATGGTGTCGAGCCGTGATGACCTAATGAGTGATGGTTGAGGGAACGGGAGGCGCTGGCTGACGGCACCAGGCGCTTGCTGGCCAACCGCCGTCTCGGCCGCCCCTGCGAGACAACTCTCATTGTGTGTACGCGCGAGGTGTGCGAGAGTCTCGAGCGCGGAGAGTTGAGAGAGACAGAGAGACAGAGAGACAGAGAGAGAGAGAGAGAGAGAGAGAGAGAGAGAGAGAGAGAGAGAGAGAGAGAGCGTGCTATATCGGCTTTGAAATTCGCATCCCCAGCGCCGTTGTATACACTTCCAGAGCTCCTCACGCCATTGGCATTGCCGGCTCCACGCTCCACCTGGACCTGCAGCTGCACCTCCTCCGTCCTCGCGTCCCGAAACGCGAAAGGACAAAAATATGCGACATGCGGGTTGTTTCGAGCCCCAGCCGCGCCGGACTACCCCTAGCCCTACCCTGCTAATAACGAGTTGTACCCGGTTAAGGATGTAAAATTTGTATAGAGACACGCCATTTTACTGACCAATCAAAACTTGTATCACTCTCGGCTACTGAGCAGTTTCGCTTTGCTGCGATCGCTGACTGACTGAGCGACCGCGCCGCCAGCGACAACCAACGCGTGCAGTCCCGCTCGTAGCTCTGGCCTTCGACTGCCGGTGGCGGGGACCATGGGCTGCGGCGCCTCTAGTGGCGGGAAGAGGACCCCCGCGCCGAGCGCCACCGCGTCAGAGCCTGAGAGCCATCAGCCTCTGACCCAGGAGGAGGTCCAGGCGCGGATTCAGTGCTCCGAGCGGTCTCAGACACACCGCCTGGGCCAGACCGGCATCACGATTCGGTGCGCGCGCCGACCACACCTCTGTGCTGGCTCTCCATCTCGCCGAGGCAATGTCGGCCAGACTCAGCAACCAGCCCCCTCACCGCAGAGCCCCTTGGCTGCAGGTACGCGCACGTGTCCCAGCGCGGCTACTACCCCGAGGATCTGTACAAGTGCAACCAAGACGCCATCAAGGTTCTTCCCTCCTTTGGCGGCGACGACGCCCGCTTCTTTGCCGGCGTGTTTGACGGGCATGGCGCAGAGGGCGACGCGTGCTCTCACTTCGTCCGCGACAACGTCGAGGAGCGCTTGAAGGCGGCGATGCAGGAGGAGCCAGCTGACTTTGAGCGCGCCTACACCGAGGCCTTTGCCGAGATAAACGAGCGGATGCATGAGCAGGACTTTGACGACTCGATGTCGGGAACCACTGCCATCACTGCCACCTTCCACGACAGCGAGGTCTCGATTGCAAACATTGGCGACTCGCGCGCGATCATCGGGCAGCGGCAGGGGAAGCGGCTGATGGCATTCTCCCTCTCCGTGGACCAGACTCCTTACCGGCGGGACGAGCGCGAGCGGGTCAAGGCCTCGGGCGCCGTGGTGATGTCGTGCGACCAGGTGTGCTATGCGACGCTTCCGAGACCTTTCCAGAGCCCTTGGCACAAATTGCGGAATCGCACCGTCGGTTGAACACCTCAGCTCCCGCGCATGCTTCTTAGCCCGTCCCCTCACCGCCCCCTACCCCTCAGCTCGAGGGAAATGCCCCCTTCCACGAGGACTGGGGCATCAACCTCGGCGAGGAGATCGACAACGGCGGAGACCCGCCGCGGGTGTGGGCCGAGGGCAAGTCCTTCCCGGGCTGCGCCTTCACGCGATCGATCGGCGACTCGTTCGCCGAAGCGATCGGCGTGAATGCCGAGCCCGAGGTGCTCTGCAAGCAGCTGACCCCCGCCGACAAGTTTCTTGTCCTCGCGTCCGACGGCGTGTGGGAGTTTCTCACCAATCAGACTGTGGCCGACATGATCTGCAACTTTGACGACCCACTCGAGGCGTGCCGCGCGGTAGTGGCGGAGGCGTACCGACTGTGGCTGCAGTTTGAGATTCGCACCGATGACATCACCGTCTTCATCGCCTTCATCGACTTTGACGCCTCCGCCGCTGCCGCCTGCCCTGCGCCGAGGGACGACGATTCGGGGAGCACACCAAGAACCTCTGCGGACGCCATCACCCTCGGCGGCTCATTGGTCGCCGCCGGCGAGAACCGGCCTGTCCGGCGCGGCATCTCAAAGGAGAAGCGACGGGAGATGGCCATCACCACCGCAGCGCCGGACGTAATCGCCTCCGACGACGACTTTGCGCCACCCGTCGCTCAAAAGACAGAGGAGGAGTCTGCACGCATCCGGGCTGCGGTCAAGGCCAACTTTCTCTTTGCGTACCTCAACGAGGCGCAGCTGCGGCGCGTGCTCGACGCGATGGTGAGGCGCGACGTCGCCGCCGGCGAGGTGGTCATCCGGCAGGGTGACCCCGGCGACTATTTCTACATATGCGAGTCGGGCGACTACTCGGTCACTGTGAGCCCAGGCGATAACCAGCCTGCCGTCGAAGTTATCTCATACGCCGCGCAGGGCGGCAGCAACCCGTGCTTTGGCGAGCTCGCACTGATGCACAACAAGCCTCGCTCGGCGACCGTGACCTGCGTCTCGGCTGGCTCGCTCTGGGCCATCGACCGCCGCTCCTTCCGCGCGATTTTGATGAAGTCGTCCTCGCACCAGCTCACGCGCACCCTGCGCTCGGTCGAGGTGCTCCGATCGCTGTCGCTCAATCAGCTGCAGCGGTTGGAGGAGCTGCTCACCGAGGCTAGCTACTCAGACGGCGAGTACGTGATCCGGCAGGGTGAGCGGACTGACACCTTTTACGTCATCCTTGAGGGCTCCGTCGCCGTAACCAGGAGCGATGACCCAAGCGACGCCGGCGCGGCCGAGAAGGAGTTAAGCACCTTCTCTTCGGGATACTTTGGTGAACGGGCGCTCATTGAGAAGGCGCCGCGCGCGGCGAACGTGATTGCGCGCGGGCCGCTTCGCTGCCTCTGCGTCGGCCGCGACGGTTTCGAGGAGGTGCTCGGCCCGCTGCAGTCCATCATCGACGCGGACAGGAGGCGCAGGGAGCGCATCTCAGAGCAGCGGCTGCTACAGCGCGAGGCGCAGGGACTGGCGAGCGTGCGGCGGGGTGACTTTGTAATGTACGCGCTCGCGGGCGGCGAGTGCTGCGAGCTGGCGCTGGCCACGCATGCGCCGAGTGGCGGCGAGTACACCCTGCGCGGCTACTCGAAGGCGCGCGTGCAGAGCGCGGGCATGGCGGAGCGGGTGATGAGCGAGGCGGCGCTGCTGGCGGGCATCGCCACCGCGTCGCCCTTTGTGCCGCTCGCGCTCACTCACTTCCAGGACGAGTCCCACCTCTTCACCGTCTTCAAGGTGCGCGCCGTTAGCGACCTGCAGACGCTGCTCGACGCCGCAGGTCACTCGATTCGACAAGAGCTGTTGGCGCTGGCCTCCTCGTTGACCCACTCAACGGACTCTCCTTCTATAGGCCAGCTCGACGAGGATTCGGCGCGCTTCTGCGGCGCGGGCGCGCTGCTCGGACTGCTCCACCTCCACAACGAGGGAATCATCTACCGCAACCTTTCGCCCGACGCGCTCGCACTGGACGCGCGCGGCTATCTGCAGCTGATGGACCTGCGGTACGCAATCCGCTCCGATGGCGGAGCAGCGATCGACGCGTGCGGCTCCGCATACTTCCTCGCTCCGGAGCAGCTGGCGCAGACGGGTCACGGTGGGCTCGCCGGCGCCGCGCCACCGCTCCCTTCTATTTGCCCCCGTCCGACCGTCGTCTAGTCGATCCACAATAGGCGCGCCGGTCGACCTCTGGGCGTTGGGAATCCTTCTCTTTGTGCTGCTCACGGGCGGTGTGCCGTGGATCGCGCCCGACGAGGACGTGGATGCCGTCACCGAATCTCAACTCTACCAGCGCATCACGGCACACCGCCACGGCGGCGTGGCCGCCGCCGCAGCGTATGGCTTCTCGAGCGGCTTTGAGGCCTTGGTCAACGACCTGCTGCACCCGAGCCCAGCGGAGCGGCTCGGCTGCAACCCCGCCGTCCGCGACGGCGTGCCGAGCCACGAGTGGTTTCGTGCAGTTGACTTCGACGCTCTCAGCCGCGGCGAGCTCGAGCCGCCTCACTTGCTGCGCATGTGGTGCGTCGATATGAGCGCGTCCCTCGCCCAGCGAACGCCGGACGCTGCTCTCTTTTTGGAGCCGCCGCCCGAGAGCGACGCGTCCTGGTGCAGAAACTTCGGGGTGGTGGGAGACTGGGCGGCGAGTGGCGAGAGGTGAATGTGTGTAAAGCCGTACTCCATGCACTTGTTACAACAACATGACATGTACATGTACGAAGGTGGCACGCCGCTTTGACCGGTCCCGCCGTATTACACTTTACAGAGTCAGAAAGCACAGCGAGAACACGAGAGAGTGTGATCGACTGATGAGTGGCTTCGAGAGTCACAAACACGCCATGGATGCAGAGCCTGGCCCTCACGGACCACACGCGCATGTACGAGAACACTCGCCCTCGGGGGAGCCGCCCCAAGCAAGACATCCCACAAACTCAGACATAATCCTCGTCCTCCTCCTCGTAGCAGGCCTGCTGCCCCGCCGCCGCCATCGGCTCGACCTCCGCGATCCCCGCATCGAGCAGCGCCCGCTGCTCTCCCACTGACCGGCTGAGTTCCTCCGAGGCGGGCAGGAAATTCGCTACGTCCTGCACCACCTCGCGCGCCGCTCGCAGCACCGCGAGGGTTTGCGGCGCGCGGAAGCGGCGCGTGAGTGCCTTCTCGGAGCGCAGCCCCGCGAGCTCCTTCTCCGCCACCTCGCGCGCCACCTCCGCGAGCACGGCCGAGGAGAGCTGTGCCGCCGCCGCGTCGTCGTCGAGCGACTCCGGCACGCGCAACGCGGCCATCTCGCGCAGGGCGGGCGCGTAGCCGCCGTCCTTGGTGATCTCCCCCACCGTCTTGGAGAGGAGGTGCAGCATCTCCGAGAGGCGCGCGATGGTCTGCACGCGCGACAGCGACGCCTACCACTCAGGCGACGCGGCTCAGGCGCCGTGTCGCCGACCGCACACCGCGCACGCGAGAGGAGGCCGCCTTGCCCGAGCGGAAGGCAGCGACGGCGGAGCTCACCTGTTGCAAGAGCCGAAGTGCGTGCGGGGGCGGGGAGAGCCGTGAGGGACGGCCGAGGCGCTCGCCTGCGTCTGCCGCGTGCGCAGCGCGCCTCGCCACGCCACCATCGACGCGAGGGAGGAGAGGCGGCGATGCGCCTCGCCCGCGCGGCCGAGGAGGGCCTCGTCAAAGTGAGATCCACCCCCCTTCTTCTTGATCGAGCCGAGCCGCGCGCCCCACTCCTCGGCCGCCAGCGGCAGCCCGAGCGAGTCTGCCGCCCCCTCGAGCTCCTTCAGCGCGCCCTCGGCTGCGTCGACGCCATCGCCCAGCTCGCCGAGCGCGCGGCAGACCAGGGCGGCCACCTCGTCCTTCCGCTCGACGAGCCGCGTGTTTGCCTTCTTCCGCAGGGCCTGCTTCATCGCGTCCGCCGCGCTCACCTGCCTCGCCGGCCGCGCGGATACCAAGCTCTGCGGCGCCCCCGCCGGCGGGGGAGGCGGCGGGGAGGGAGCCTTCGGCACCGCTACTGGCGGCGGCGGCGGCGGTGGCGGCGGGTTCGGCGGTGGGGGAGGGGCGGCTCGCACGCACGGCGGCGGAGGCGGCGGCGGCGGCGGCGGCGGCGGCGGCGGCGGCGGAGCCTTCGCCACCAGCACCGCCGGCGCCGGCTGCGGCGGCGGCGGCGGGGGCGGCTGCGCGGCGAGGGCCGAGCGGACGAGGTCGGCGGCGCCGGTGGAGAGAAAGTGCTCGAGGCGCGAGGAGAGGGCGTCGAACTTGGAGGTGTACTCGCGCTCGCGCTCGCGCGTCTCCCGCTCCGCCTAGAGCGGCGACGTGCGGGCGGGCGTCGAGGAGGCGCCGCCGTGAGTTGTGTGCGTGTGTGTGTGCGTGTGCGTGCGTGTGCGCGCGCGCGCGTGTGTGTGTGTGCGGGGGGGGCGAATATCACACGAGCGCCTGAGCCCGGACCTGCGCCTGGACCTGCGCCTGCAGCTCGGTCTGCATCTTCTCTCTCAGCTCCGCCTCGACCTGCTGCCGCACCTGCGGCGGCGAAGAGAGCGGCGAGGAGAGTGGTGAGGCGTGCAGTGCGGGCGGGGAGGGGGGGGCGAGGCAGCGCGACCGGTGGTTGGAGCGGGCCAGGACTGGAGGCAGCGAGGGAGGGACGGCGGCGGCGCCTGCTCCCGAACCCGCTCGAGCTCCGCCGTGTGCTCTTCCAAGGAGACGGCCCGGGCCCGCAGCGCCGGCGCCGCCTCCGCCGGCGCCGCGAGCGCCTCCGGTGTGGTCGCGCGGGCGGTCTCCAGCGTCGCGTCCGCGGCGGAAAGCGACTCGTCGAGGGACGCATCCGGCGTCGCGTCCAGCAGCGTCGTGTCCAGCAGAGTTGCCTCGAGGGCGAGGGGCTCGTCCAGCGAGCTTCGCCGCTCGTCCAACAGAGTCGCTCCCGCGCACACCGCCGGGCTGCACGCGTCAGCCACTCCGGGGCTCGCTGCTAGCGCGCTGTTCCGCCGCTGCCGCACCAGCTCGCTGGCCCTGGAATCGCCCGCCCAAGGGTCGCCCTTCAGGCCGGCGCCGCCGGTGAGCACTGCTGCGCCAGCGGGCGGTGGCAGCGGCGGTTCGACGACCGTGGTGCGCTGCAGCGCTCCCGAGGCCGCGCCCGCCGCCGCGTTCGCAGCCGCCGCCGCGAGGTGCCGGGAGGCGGCTCGAGGGCGGTGCGTGTCGGTGCCTTGCCGCCCGCTCTCGCCGGGCGGTGCGGGCGGCGTCGCGGCTCCTCGGGCGGCGGCGCGGCAGGCCTCCTCGACCTGGGAGGGTGCGGGCGGCGGGTGGGCGCGGGCGGCGAGCGGGTGGAGTGGAGAGGCGGGGGCCATGCACCTGCCGCCGCCGGATCTCTTCAGCGAGAGGCATCAGCGCGGGAGAGGCGGCGGGAGAGGCGGCGGGAGAGGCCCACGCGGTCTCATCGTCGTCTGCGCTCTCTCCGCGCCGCGAGGGGTGCGTCGCGTGCTGCGCCTCGCACGGCGTGTCGGGCAGCGAGCCGGCCAGCTGCGACGAGCGCGAGGCAAGCGGCCCGACACCGAGCTGCCAGCCGCTTCCCTCCCAACACGTCTCGTCGCCGTCTGCGAGCGGCGACGGCAGCGGCGGCGTCGGGTTCGACGACGCCGGCGACGGGAGCGGCGGGGCGGGCGTCGAGTGGGATGAGCCCGGCGAGGGCACGGGCGGTGTCTCGGCCGGCGGCGACGTGAACGCCGCTGAAGGCAGCCGCGATGATGATAGCCTCGCCGGAGTCCACAGCGGGGTCCGCACCGCCGCCGCCGCCGCGAGCCGCGGCGGTAGGGACGGCAGAGAGAGCTCCGGGGTGGGGCGGGGGGGGAGAGGCGGTAGTGGCAGCTCAGGCGTGGCCTGCGACTCGACCGGCGGCGTCGATCCGACCGGCCTGAACGGCGATGGCCCGGCCTTGAGAGGCGGCGCCGCCGCCGCCTCACCCTCGGCTAGTGTCGGAGCCGAGGAGAGGGCTGAGCTGCAGCGCCGGATGGGGATAAAGTCGCCGCGGTGGCCCAGGCGGCGTGTCGGTGGCTGGTTGGCGATCCGGTGAAGTATCGCGAGGTGGCTCTCCGCCTTTTGCGCCTCGGGCCAGCCCTTTGGAGCGCCGAGGTTGTCTGCGGCTGTGCTCAGGCGCCGGAGCGGCGAGCTGGCCGCCGCGTACGTCGACGTGGCGAAACTCATCGGCGCCACCCACGGGGGAGAGCTGGGCTCCAGCACCTGAGGCTGCGGCGATGAGCGTGGCGACTGGAAGCAACGGCGGGATGACGATGGCGATGGCGTCTCGGGAATTAAGAGGCGGTCAGCAGGCGGGCGGCGCGTGGCAGGGCTGTCCATGCTGAAGGTGGCGGCGGCGGAGGCACGGCGGCGAAGGCAGGCACGGCCGGCGACGGGCTGCACGATCAAACCAGCTGGTTCACAGCCTTGTTATTGAGAAGAAAATACCTCGGATGGCGCTGTGCGCTGGTCTGTGAGACGGCGTGCCGTTCTCCCATCCCTCCCTTGGGTTGTCTGCTTCTTTCTTTCTTTCTTTGGTCTGTGAGAGGTTGAGGTGCGAGCCCTGGAGGCCCTGGGGATGGGGTGAGACTACCCGCGGGCCTAGAAGGCCCGCGCGCAGGGGGGTGGGACATTGAGACCGGTCATGAATGAGTGCGCGACACGCATGTTGCGAGCAGCGTTGTTGATGTTTTGCGCGTCGCCACAGACGGCGGCGCGCGAGAGCTGTTGCGAGTGGTGCTGGGCGAAGCCCCGGGCGCTGCCGGAGGCTGTGCCGTAGTGGGTGCGGTCGACGGCGCTCGGGCTGCCGACCTCTTCACACAAAAACACAACCCCGGCCCCAAGACGCACAAGCTCAGACAGTCGAGAAAGGGATCGACAGCAACGACAGATCAGTCAGAAGTCAGCGCTGGGTCCCAGACAGCATCGTCCGTCAGAAGTCTGTTCACAGTTGTTATTGAGAAGAAAATACGTCAATGGCGCTGTGCGCTGGTTCACATACTCGTAAACGCACAACCCCGCCCGAAATCGCACAGAGACAGTCACGCAACACGGGGGTGGGTTCACACAAAACAAAAACACAACCCCGGACCCAAGACGCACAAGCACAGACAGTCGAGCGAGAAGGGAGAGACAGCAACGACAGTCAGAAGCCAGCGCTGGGTACCAGGAAGGCGAATGCGATGACGGCCTCTAGAGTGTGCTCTACTTCGAGTAGCTAGTGAGCTCATACGCACGCCGGCAGATCGCGACTATATACAGCTAGTTAGGAGCCGACCGACCCTCGCGTCCGGTGTTCATCGGCCGGGCGGGCCACCCGCCCACGCGCCGCCTACGCGCAGCGCGTGCGCCGCAAACTCGCCCGCCGAGAGCACCGGCCGGTCGCCATCGGCCGTCGCGAGAGGCCTGCCCGGCTGTCGCCGCGGGGCCCCCACGAACACCACGCGTCGGAGGCGGTGCCGCGCGAACTCGCGCGCAAAGTGCACGCCCCACGCCCGCCGCAGCGTCGTAGCGAAGTAGGACCGCGCCTCCCTCGCGCTACGCGCGCCGATCCGCCTCCAGTGCTGCTTGGATGCCGACTCCACCACACAATCGAACAGCTGGTGCAGGTCGTCCGACGCCTCCGCGTAGGCCCTGACAACGAGGCTGCGCACGGTGCCAAACGAGCGCAGCACGGAGGACACGGCGTCCCTCGAGCCGTTGTTCCATGCCTGCACGTGCGGCTTGGCATCGAGCGCCGCCGCCCGCGCCTCGTAGTCGCGCTGGACCAGGTTCGCCCTGTCGGCGACAGCGCCGCCCTGGCCATCGTCGCGCGCCCGGGCCGGACACCACTGTAACGTCCGTTCCGGGCATTTGAACGCGACCTTCGGGGGCAAAGACATGGGCTCTATGGCTCAGACTGGACTCCTCTTGGTCCCTTCTGATGCCCTAGGCCACACCTGGGCCTTACCTGGGGTCCTAGGGGCCGGGCAGGGTTTGCCCCCCCCAACTGCGAAAGGAATTCTCTTTCCGATGAGCGGAGCTTGTGGGTGAACGCGAGCTGCACTCTCGTTGCCCTTGCCCATACACACATGACGACAGCCGCCGCCCTCGTGACGCTCGGCCTCGCCTTCACGGCGCCCGCCAGCCGCCTCGCGCCGCCGCGCGTCTCGTCTGCTCGGATGATGTGCGCCGCGGTCATGCCTGAGACGCCGCCGGCTCTCGAGTCCGACTGCGGCTTTGACCACGTGCCTCTCTCGATCGCGCTGCAGTCCGGCGACTTTCTGGAGGCGCGGCCGCCCGGACCGCCCGCGACAACGCACACCGCCTGCCCTCGCCGCCGCCGCCGCCGCCCATTCGCCTCTCGCCGCCGTGGGTGGCAGCAGACGGCGTTTGCGGCGGCCGCCTCACCCTCTCCCGGCGCCGCCCTCGGCCTGCTCATGCCGCCCGCGGCGCCGCAGGCGGACCAGATCACCCGCGACGCGCTCATCAAACTCGCGGGCGACTCCGCCGTCTCGCGCGGGTACGTCTACTTTGCAGAGGTGCCAAACCTGCCCGAGGCCGACCTCGCCACGATCGAGCGGCTGTGGCTGGCGTACAGCGGGGGCAAGTTCGGCTACTCGGTGCAGGTCAAGGCGCTGCAGAGCAAAAAGGTCAACAACAACCTCGAGAAGCTCTTCGACAAGATTGGCTGGAGGAACGAGAAGGGGCAGCTGCTGCGCTGGCTGCCCGAGAAGGCGGGCGCCAACTGCCGAGACGCCTCCTCCCTGCTCTGTGGTCCGCTCTCCTCGCCCGCTCCTCACCCTCCCCTCCGCCCACCACCTCGCCAGGCGAACAACGAGTTCATCTACGAGCTCGACGCCGCGCCCGAGGGCCACCTGCCGCTCACAAACACGCTGCGTGGCCAGCAGCTGATCACAGCGCTCTTCAAGCACCCCGTATGGGCGCGCGACGAGTTCCAGTGAGGGCGGCGGCGCAGGGCCGGGGCGAGGGGCACGCACGAGGCAGCAGGGGGCGCGTACTCCGGGAGGCGCCCGAGGCGGAGGCGCGTGGCGGCAGGCGAGGCGGCAGGCGAGGCGGCAGGCGAGGCGGCGGCAGCGTGCGTCCCCCGTGGGCGGGAGGCGCACCCCTCGCATTGCTCGGAGCGCGTGCAGCGGCCGCTCCTTGAGACATGGACCACTACTACGGGCGCCGCAGCGGGATCCGCTGCTCCTCTCGTTTGCCGCGTTGGGTTTGTGCGTGTTCGCTCGTCGTGCTCGCTCTGGTTCGGGCAGTGACCGTGTATCGCGTCTCGACGTAAAGAAAAAAACAACTGTTTTTTCAAAGGCAAAACACCCGCTGCGGACCCTCGCCCACTCAACACACAACACCCTCTCACCGTGGAAAGAATTCAGAGTCTCAGAGTCCCTTCACCTTGTGATTTTTGCATTTTGGCACGTTTGGGTCTCAAAATCGTCCCGATTTCATAATATGTTCGTTTTCGTACGTGCATCCGCGGCGCCCAGCGGTGCCAGCGGCTCCCATACCTCTAAGAGGCCACCCACCTCCGATAGACCCTTATATCCGCGTTCCACGCCCAATAGAGGCAGCTGCAAGAGGGCCCGGACGGGCACTGCGGCACACACTGCTCGCTGCTCGGCCATGCGGTAGCGTTTGGTGATGCCGCCCCTGCGCGGGCGGGGGCGTCTCGCTCGGCAGCAACTGCGCCGCGCAGCGCAGGTTCGAGGGTCGCGGTGGATGGGTGCACCGGAAGACGTAGCGGTCGAGAAAGCGCTCAGCGACCGCTACGTCTCGAGGATGGAGCCGTCGCGCAGACCCGAACGGCCGACCGGCAGTAGCAGCAGGCGCCGGAGGGCGCGGGAGGCAGCGGCGACACCTCGGGCCAGAACTGCGAGCCCTCGGCTGGTGAGGGGGGGCGCTCATGGGTAAACGGCTCTGGGACTTAGCTAAATCGCGCATCGAAATCGGGACGATTTTGCTAGCGCACCGTCACAAGGTGGGGCGTTGGGGCCATGCCTGAGCGCTGAGGCGCCCCCTCTCCACCCCCGGGGGCCCCGCCCAGCTACCCTCAGCTAGCTCCACCCCACATGAGGACCACTCGAGCGGCCGCACTCTGCTCGCTACCCCCCCTGCACAACTAAGCTCATCCCTGCTGCTAGGGGGGGGGTCTGACCCCCCCAGCAGCAGAGCGCTCCTGCTGGGGGGGGGGGGTCCCGACCCCCCCAGCAGCAGAGCGCTCCTGCTGGGGGGGGGGGGGTCCCGACCCCCCCAGCAGCAGAGCGCACTGGACCCAGCTCTCCCGCCTCCTCGCCGCCGCCCCCCCTCTCCGCCCTCGGTTCGTGTTTAAGCGGTACTCGTACGCTCGAGGCGGTTGTGTTCGCCGCGCCTTCGAGCCCAATACACCTCGCGAGAAAGCGCTGCGCGGTACTCGGCAGTGTCGCAGTGTCGAGCAACACTCGGTGTCAGAGCGTCGCGCCTCCATCAGTAGTCTCATCATCGAGTGATTGCTGGCCTGTCGCCTGTGGCGTATGACCTCGCGCGGATATCACCAACGACGAGCATGCGAAGATAGGGAACAATATCTTGTACAGCCCGCTGTGCTCCCCGCTGTGCCACGGCGTACGATGGGCTGCGAGAGCCGTATCTTCCCTCCTTGAAGCAGAGGAGCCGCGAGGCACGAGAGGCGTAGAAGAGAGGCTGGCGTGCCCCGCACCTCCCGGTTGGCAGTAGGAGGGCCCGCCGGTGAGACCACTGATTTTGATGCCGACTATAAATTCTCGCCACTGGAACGCATGCTACTTACAGCTGCTGTCTGTACAGAGATGCCAGCACCCCCCACAGGCAGAGCGCTCCTGCTGGGGGGGGTCCGGACCCCCCCAGCAGCAGAGCGCTGCTGCTTGGGGGGGGGTCCCGACCCCCCCAGCAGCAGAGCGCTGCTGCTGGGGGGGGGGTCGGCCATGAGCTTAGTTGTGCAGGGGGGGTAGCGAGCAGAGTGCGGCCGCTCCTCGTACCAAGGTGTCCAAGTGGACCAAGCCTACGAGGGCGCATTCGCAACTCCCCCTTTTTTTATGGTTTTATACCCACATTATGCGAGAAGAGTAAGGTGAGAGGAGGATCCACAAGGGCCGGTCTTCCATACTGCGGTCAGAAGATGGGTCCCGTACCATGCGGAATCGACCCTATCCTCGGAGATAGCCGCGCAGCGGCTATGTAGGTTATCCAACAACGCGGAGAGGAACCGACATAGAACAAACTCCCACCGAAAGGTGGAACGTGACGCGTGGCCGGATCGTTACGTCCGTCCGTGCGCGGAACTCGTGTGTCGGACCCTCGCGCCCCCAGGCGCCCGAGTCCCGTTCTCGTCTGCCCCACCCTCCCTCCCTGGCAGACGTTTTGTAGTGTTCGTGTGTGTTCGAGCGTCGGGGCCTTATTTGGGCGCCGACGCTCGGGGTCGTCTGGCAACGGCACCGGGAGCTCGAGACGCAGCTCTCGGGGCCAGCCAACCCAGGAGTCGATTTTAGGACCAATCTCAATGACAATCTATCAACATGAACGACGGGGCCTCGGACGCGATGGATAAAGTGCCCGAGACTTGTCAAGAAGACGGTCTCCAAGTGTAGTTCCGGGTTGTGATTGTGCTTGTGCATGAGCGCCGGTGGTGCACCTGCCTGCGGTGCGCCTGGCGGGCTTGGCGATCGTGGTGAGGGTCGGCATCGGCGTACGGTTGCAATCGTCAACGCGGGTATGCCGCGCGACGTGGCGCACCCATTGGTGGCCGCCTCCTTTGCACTGCTGTGTAGCTCGCTGCACGAGGCTGGTCACCGCGTGCTGACCTATCTCTTCCTCTCCAACGCGAATGGCGGAGGAGCGGAACGCGGCGGGACGGCAGCTATGACAGTTAGCGACAGGCAGTGGGAGCACGCACTGTGCCTCTACAAGCCAGCGTGCGTGCTGGTCTCCGATGCGGCTCTGCCGTGCAATTACCAGAACTGCACACCCGTGTTCTCGCGCCCATGACTCCACCTACAACTGGCTCGCTCAGTTCTACAAGTTGCGACTCGCCTATCGCATGGCGCTCGATGATTCCGCCTCTCGAGGGCTTGCCATCGATTGGTTTGTGCGAGTCCGCACGGACATGCTGCACTTGCAGCCGCTGCCGCCGCTCGCATCCTTCATGGACAGCTCTACCTATGTGCCTTTGGGGGTGATGACAAGCGTTGCCAAGTACCAGATGCTCAACGACCACATGTTTCTCTGCCCTGCGGGCTCGTTGTGTGAGGATTATTTCCAAGTGAGTGCGCGTGTGTACGGAGACTGCGCCCAGAAGCAGGCGGCGGGGCAGCGCGTACGTGCGCCATGGCCACCGCAGGAGTTCTGGGCCAGCCGATTTCAGTTCGACCCCAAAGCGAGGGCGTCCGGCAGTAAGAGGACGTTGCGCCATTTCGAGCACGCGTACACGATCGCTCGCAACTTTGGCCCCCACTGCGAAAGGCTCGAGTGCGACGCCACGAATGGCTTCGCCACCGGCCCACCGGCTGCGTCGCCACACACCTGACTGCACACATGGCCGGATGTTTGCGACTGCGGGCTGTCTGGCGGGACGTCACATGGCAAAGGCACGCGTGGGGCTCGGCGAATAAGAGTCACTTGACCGCGCTGTTCCGTGCCCTCTTGATCGACTCTGTCTCGACGACACTGTCTCAGAGCCAAAGGAAGCTGGTTGAAATGCTGCCAGCCGCGCGGGCTCGTCCCGCCGCCTTGCTCAACAGTGTTAGTTAGTTCAAATGAAGTCGGATGGAACTGTAAAGAAGTGTATGAAATGCGACTGGTTCATTTGCATGTACATGTCAGTTGTAGAGTACTTTTAGCTTACTGGGAAAAAAGGGAGAGGGGGTTGTGTTCTCTATAGTGTGTCAGTTGTAGGAAAACCTGCTCCGACTTAAAAGCAAGCCTCTCTCACAGCACAGTTGGCACGACAAGGGCGTGGACTGCGCACACTAAAACAAATGGCTACCCAACGCGGCCAAAGGATCTCCACCAACGAGTAGTGAACCTTGAGAATGGCAAAAAAAGAAATATCCGGTCTTCGCGCGCTCGCTGGGATTTCACTGGCCGGGGGGGCGGTGCTGGCGGTTTGCCTTCCACCGCACCGGCACGCTGCTCGCTGCCGAGCGATGGATGACCAGGCGGAGCTCGAGATGTGGCGCGAGGCGCTCGAGGATCCCGCGATTACCGCCGAACCCGACCGCATCGCTCTCCTCGCCGCAGCACAAGCGGCGATGACCGCCCACCCCACTGTCACGCGGCACGGCAGGGAGGAGGAGGGCGAGCCGCTGGACCGCGAGGTCCTATCTCGCGTCGCAGACTTCATCGGCCGCATGGCTGGCAACCCGCTCGGCCTGTACTTCCTGCGCGCGAGCACCGTTCGAGACCTACGCAACTATATCGACCGCCCTGACCATGGGTTCCCAAGCGCGCGCGAGATCTTCTTCCACAGGCTCGTGCACTCGTGCTTCCGTTTTGTCCACGACCGCTACACCGGAGACGGCTATGTCGAGCTCGCGCTGGTGATGCACGGCCTAGCCGACCCCGACGACTCAGCGACATGGGACATGGGCTTCAAGCTCGGGCCGACCGCCGAAGCGGCGGCCGCGTGGCAGTCGTGCGTCGACTGGAGCTGGGTGACGGCGACGCCGACCGCGCCGTGGCTGCGCCCCCCGGCTCGTGCGGAAGGCTTGTTGTCGCTGCAGGCGCTGAGCGTCCAAGCGGCAACCGGCCTCTTCACTGCGCAAAACGTCGCAGCTGAGGGGTACCCGGCAGATATAGTCTCGGCGCTCAGCGCAGCCGAGTTCCTCGAGGCGTGGCGCGCCGCTGCCACCCGGCGCACTGACGGGGTGTCGATTTGCTCGGCGGGCGGCTATAGCGGCTGCGTTCTGCGCGACGTGCATCGTGCGGCCTGCCTACCGCAGCGGCCGGACGCGGCGACGGTGCTCGAGCATGTCCTCACCCTGCAGGGCCCAGAGCCGCGCATCATCCACGCGCTCAAGGACAGCGCGCGCATCATCGCCCCGCACGCGAGCCACTCGTTGGCAAACGCCTTTGGCGAGAACGCCACACCCTACGTGCGCAACTACATCATGGTCGAGCGCGAGCACGGACACACCGACACCCAAGGCGCCCCGCCGCCCCCGAAGCGCGCACAGGGGCAGGGCGGGGCGAGTGTCGGTGCGAGTGTCTCCGTCGCCTCCTCCCTCCCGGGGTCTGCAGCTTTGGCGCCGTAACGCACGCTGCTCAAGCTCCTCCTGCCGCCGGACGACGGGCCAACCTCCCAGCTCGACGCGCGCAGCTCGCACCTCTGGTCCTCATTCTCGGTGCCCGGCTTGGTGGACCAGTTCTACGACGGCCCGTGGCAGAACAGCCGCAATGGCCTCGTGCTGGTGCTTGTGATGCAGTGCGCGCAATCCTCGCCCGAGGAGGAAGTCACCAGCCTCTACTTTGAGAAGTCGCTCATCGTCGCCATTCTGCAAGCCGACGAGACGCCTTTCCCTGCGTTACTCTACGTGGCGGACCCGCTCTGCAGCCCGGACGGGCCGGGCAACGCTGCTGCGCACGAGTTCATCACGCGCGCCTTCCTCGACTGCCCCACCTTCCAGGCATACTGCGCCTTCTGGAGCAAGCCGCCGGCGGTGGTGATCGCGGGTCCTCGGGATGCTTGAGAGAGCAAAAAGACACAGGATCAAACAAATAAAACGGAGTCGGACAGCTCTCCTCTTCCAGGAGATTGGTGTCTAGATAAAAGTCGCTAGGTTTCGCCACATGGTGCCCTTTCCGCGTCATCACACACGCCGTCCCCCGAGATACGGCTATCTAAACGGCTCTAACACGCGCAGTGAACACGGCTATAAAGTTTTAACTTTATACATACGTCGACGTGTGTGTTGCCCTCAATGTGTGACATTTTGGTTTTTTGCAGCAGCTAGTACTGACAGACATGTCTCAAACCCGACTAACAATCCTTGTGCGGGGCGGCGTCACAGCTGTACGTGCCAAGGCAGGGCGATCCGATTGGCCACAGGCACTGAAGCCCATCGCGCCGCTTTGGGTTGGGGTTGCGCACATTGCACTGCTGTTGCACGCGGCGCACCGTCTTTAGCGAGCCGTCGAAGCGGGTGAAGCTGAGGGAGGACTCGGCCTCGTCCGCCAGGGCGCTCGCCAGAGTGATTGGCATGTTGCGCCGCCGGGTGGCTTCGTCCCGCTCCTCGATGTGGCTCAGCCACGAGCGCGCCACACGGAGGCACTCTGGCATCGCCTCTGGCACGGCGCCGTTAGGGGCTGTCCCGGCTGCGCGCTCCGCGTTGTCGAGCACGGCCCTCATCGTCGGAAGCTGCTGCACCGACCGCTTGAATCGCGGGTTGGACCACGCTGTCACGTGCACCGACTCCAAAGCCACCTCCCTGCCCCCCACCTTATACCCTCTCGCCAGCTGCTCGACAAGCCGCGCCCAAGGATACCCCCTGCAGCTTCGGTTCGCGCGGGCGCGGAGCCAAGCCTCGCGGTCCGCGATGGCCTCCCACGGGAAGGGGTAGGCGCGCATGCTCGTGCCGATCGTGGCGAGGCCCGGGTGCTGCCGTTGCAGCTCGAGCGGCAGGATGCTGGAGTGCCAGTCCCACTTGTTTGGCGAGCCTACGCGGTGCAGAGAGGAGTGTCGGCCACAGCCTCGTGTGCAGCCAGAATGGAGAGCACTTGTATGCCGCGGCCGCCAGTTGAAATGCAGGGATGTGTGCTTGGTATCTAGGGCGGCGGTCCGTCCCACGATCGGCCGAGCGCCTCCCACCACGCGCGGCCAAAGGCGGAGTTCGGGCGCGCCATCATCGCGCCATTGTTGAGCCGGGGTAGATGCTCGACCGAGACGATATCTTCACGCGCATCCACCCCGATGGTGAAATCGCTGCGCCTGTGCGCCGCGAAGTATGGCCGCAACACAAAAACGTCCGAGTCGAGGTAGACGCCACCCTCGCTCTGCAGCGCGTGCAGCCGCAGAAGATCGGAGACGTGCTGCAGTTTGATCTCCCCGCGGCGCAGCTTGGCGTCGAGCGTGTCGCGAGAGAACCCGCCCCCGAGGCGGGCCACGGCGTCAGCAAAGGAGGAGCCGCCGCGGGACATGTTGGTGGGTCGAATCCGCACGCCCAATGCCGCGAGGCACTGGCGATACCCAAAGGCAAAGGGGCCGCAGCCCGGGCGGGCGCGCCAGGCAGCCTCCCATCCCTGAGCCAACCACGCCAGGGACGTGACGTGGTAGTTCATCTCTCGAGGCCGCAGCATCAGCACGGCCGCGAGGAGGGACACCAAATCTTGCACCGGCGGGCAGGCCTCGCCCACCCACACGCGATGCAGCAGCGGTGGGACCTCGCTCGCCGAGGGGACGGCGGAGACGGGCGGGGACGGGCTGGCTTCGGCCATTTTTGCCGGCGGCGGCACCGCGGGCTGGCACAGCGTCGCCACGTCTTTGATCACCCGATCGCGCACTGTCTCAAGCCCGCGCTCTGCACACAGCCGGTGCAGCGACGAGTGCCACGAAAAGAACTCGCACGCCTGCGCCGTGGAGAGGATGGGCTGCAGGGGAGAGAGGCCGCCCTCCAAGTTTATCCGCGGATGAACGGCCGCCCTATATAAAGAAACAAAACGAAAAGCACAAGCGTCGACGGCCCGCCTTGTCGTGGCTTAGACTCCTGTGAGATTGAACTTTGAAGCGTTGCGCACTTCCTTCTAGTTCGCATTCAAAAAAATGCATGACCGACGTCGCGGTGTTTTGAAGCGAGCGCTGAGGCCACGGTCACCCGCCCGGCAGCCTCCTAGGCGGCCTCTCCCCTCTCAGCTTCCACTCCGGGACCGAGAAAGGCAAGGAGACGTGGCGGGTGTAGTTGCCCCGACGCGGGCTAACCAGCCGGGACGCGGCCGGCTCGGATGCAACAGCGGTGCCGCCCGCGGCCGCAACCTTCTGGGCGAGCTCGAGGAGCTGCGCGTGCGAAAGGCTGGACAGACGCTCTGCGAGGCTGGAGGGGGTGGCGATGTCGGTGCCGTTAGATCGCGGCGACAGAGGTTCGTGGATTGCACGCCACCCCTGCGAAGCCTTAGTTCGAGCGAGGAGCTGCAACAGCGTACGCACCCGTGCCGCGAGCGGTTCCGAAGGCAAGCACCAGTGCCGGCAGTCCGCCACTATCGTCTGCCTCGGATTTCCCCACCCCCCCTTGCGCACCGCCTTGATCCCAGGGTGCGCCGCCCACTGCGACACCGAGTCGTCGAAAGTGGCGAGCACCGGCCAGCCCGCCTCCGCCGCTACGGCGTTGCCCGCGGTGCGGCGCGGATTGCCGTGCGCGAACTCTGCCCCGGCTGGGCCGAGCTTCACACACGGGTAGGAGGAGTTGGCGCCTGCGCCCAGTGAGCCTGCGCCGGCGAGTGGGGGCCCGCGCCCGACGTTCTGATCAACGTTGCTGAACTCGCCCGAGGGGGTGTCAAAGTGACCCGCGAAGTATTCGAGCCAGAGGACCACACCGCCTACGAGGCGTCATGGGAGGGTATTGGACGAGTCCGAAGCGAGTCCCATCTTGGAGGCGAGAAGCCCCGCCGCGGCGCGAGAAGCCGTCGAGCCACTGGCTGCGCCAACCGCGGATCTTAGTGCGGACGGCGTTAGCGTCGAGCGGTAGGAAGGCGCCCACACCAAAAACCACTACGTTTGCCTCGCCGATCAGCTCAGCCTCGTGCGGCGCAACCGTGCTGGCCTGCAGATATCGTAAGGCCTGATATGAAATATCTGTTGCCTGCTTTACTAAGGGGAGGAATATCGCTGATCGCTCTCATTGCTGAATACCGAGCAGCTCCCGGGTGGGAAGATCGAGGGGCGGGCCTCGGAGCACCTCCATGACCCACTTGTTTAGCATCGTGAGCGCAAGGCCCATCTTCGGGTCACGCAGCGTCACGCGCTTGTACTGGTTGACGCAGTCCCAGTGCGGACAGCGCCAATACCGATACCGAGGCTCGGCGTCGATGACGAGGCCAGGCTGCACGCTCAGCAGGCACACGAGCATGTGGAAGAGCTGCCGCACAAGTGAGTCGCCCAGAAAAGAGATTGTGGTGCCATTGTGCCGCCGGAGAAGCGCGCCGGCCTCACTTGTGGGCAGGAGGAGCTCTGGCTGGACACCGCGATCGCACTGGCCCTCCGACTCCTGCGGGGGCGACCGCTCCTGCATGCGTGCGCTGAAGTCGCAGGGCGTCGGCAGCGTCATGCGTTGCTGACTTTTACTGTGCGCGACACTTGGTTTGGGGACGGCGCCGGTCGTGTCCCCAAAACGGCCAACAAAAACGGCGCCGCGCACGGGACTGGCGCGGATTGGCACTAACACACACCTTCTACGATTGTGAGCGATCGAGCTCGCGCCTGTACAAGATCACGGAGCGACCGGAGCCCCCCCCCCCCCCCTCTATCTTTGGTTGGTACGATTGTGAGCGCAGCCGCTCGTAATCATAGAAATTCTACAGGATTGTGAGCGCTCGGAGGCAACCCCAGACTTTGCTCGGATTGTGACGGTGAGCGCGTTGGCCGTTGGTAGTAGTCGTGGGTGGGCGTCACCAGTCACATTGTGAGCGGAGCCGCTTGCTTGTAGTCCTAGAGAACACGCCCCAACTCGGCCCAAGACGCTGTCATGCTGGTGTTGGCAATCGTGCAGGCAGTAACAGCACCCCCACCGCCAGTCGGCTGCCGAGGCCACTGCGAGTGCAAGACGCAGCCCATGGGAAGCGCCAGCTGGCCGTCGTGCGACCTTTCGTGTTGTGTAGTTGTGTATGGACGCGTCCAAACTTAAATTTCGCGTCGCCCATGCCCTTTGATCGCGCGGCACGCCGGTGGCTCGCCGACAGCACGGCCGACAGCACGGCCCTGCACCGTCGGCCAAAGCGGGTGCGAGTCCGACCGGGGGAGACGCTTCACTTTGACGGGTTGCCCAAGCCGTGGATCCGGCCAGAGGCGCACGCAACTCGGCTCGGCAACGTCTGCCTCCAACTCAACAAGAAAGGGGAGTGGCAGCGTCTCTTCTACCGCAACAGTCCCGATACGCTGCGGTCAAAGACACCGCCCGCTCGTATCCGATTGCGACCGGCCAAATCGATGCTCTGGGTCCAGATCGTCGTCCCGCCGGCAATTGCGCTCACAGGGAACATCAGCTGGGAGAGCAAGGCTACCATGCTCCTGACTGCCCCCAGCAGCAACCCAAGCCACCAGTTCTTCGACGCGCTCCTCCCCCTCTTTGTGGGCCGGCCTGACCCGGGCGTGCCTCCGCACGGGGGCGGCCTCTTCCTCATTCCCTTTGACGACGAGTGCCGCTCATGGTTGTGCTATGTGATTAAGTAGAAGCACATGCACATGCAGAGAAGCGCACGCAGAGGTGGAGGGTCACCTGTCTTGACACCCCCCATCCAGTGCCGTGCCTCACGAGCCGGGGCCGCCACAGGTGCTCTCATACATGGTCTCGCCGAACGGCTCTCCGCCGCAGCTGCTTCGCACGACCGACGGGCAGTGCCTCTGCTTTCGAGAGCTGATCATCCCCGTATACAGCCAGTATCGCTCCGTGTCGCCCGAGACGACGCCGCAGCACGTCAATTACCTCCGCAGGGTAATGACGCGGCAGCTGCCTCCGCCCCGCCGCAGGGCCGCTTGGGTCTACGCGCGCGACCGATGCGAGCGGCGGCGGTGGAAAGACGCGGCGCCCTTCGTCGAAGGGCTACGGAGGAGGGGCTGGGCAGTGGTCCAACCCGCAGACCTGCTCGCGTCGGCGCCACAGGAGCTGTGCCGCAGCTTTAACGAGGCCGACCTGATCGTAGCTCCACACGGCGCCCACATGGCGTACACCCTCTGCGCACGGCGCGATACGGTGGTCGTCGAGATGGCCTGTACCCAAATCCGCGACTGGCTCGCGAGCCCCGGCGCCGGCCCTTACCACACCGCTCTCGGCCTCCGGTACCAGTTCTGGGTGGGAGGGCCGCCGCACGGCTCACCCGCGTGCAATGTGAGCAAGTCCTTCTCCTTGTTGACGCGCGGAAGGAGTACGCTTGCGGTCGACAGCGACTTTGACGCGGGCTCTGAAAACCTGCTCACGTTGGTCGATAAGCTGTCGCGTCCGCCCCCTGGGCCGCCTGAGCCGTCGCCAGCGAGGCTGGCACGCGAGTCGCCCGCGATCGTTCTCGTCCTTATATGGACTCCCCCCTCCAAGGCGGTGGTCCGCGCAGTGATCCGGAGCACGCTGCCGGAGCTGACGAGGGGGGAGCCAATCGAGGTGCGCTTCGCGCTCGGCAACTCGCCGGTGCCGGAGGTGCGAGCAATGCTGGCGACCGAGCAGGTCCGGTGCGACGATTTGGCCCTCCTCGCCTTCAACGAGACGGAGGACAAGGGCTTCGCTCGCTCCAGCAGCGTCAAGCTGTGGCACACATATGCGTGGGCGCTCGAACGGCGGCCCGCGGCGGAGCTCATCTTCAAGCAGGACTCGGACGCGCTCGTCGACTGGCGCCGCGCGCTCCGGGCGATGTTGGCTAGTGCGAGCCTCGGCGGGGAGACCGTCCCCTTCCGACACCTGTTCCTGGGCCGCATCTGCCAGCCAGAGCAGTGCCCTGTCATGCTGAGGACACACGGCGCTTGCGTGGCGGGCATGGTGCTCGGGCTGAGCCGCGACGTGGTGGGGTGGATCCTGCACGCCGCCTCGCCGCCCGTGACAACCGATGACATCAATGTGTGCACCTGGGCCGCAGAGTACGACGACCACCACCCGGGCGATCCACCACCCCCACCCGGCAAGGCGAGCTGAAGACCTCGAGGGCTCTCACGTTTGTGCGTGTAGCTACGTAGGCGCCCTTCTCAACCGGCACGGTATCACCCTCGCCGGGAGGGACGTGAGCCGCGCGCCGTGGCTGCACCCGCTCAAGAACCCGCACGCCTACTTACGCTGCTTCCTCGACCGCGAGCACGGCTGCTCGCTGCGCGACCCCGAGCAACTTCACTTCCAGCTGCCGCTGAGGGCGAGGTGGTCGCCACCACCGAGCGTGAGCACGCTGTTATGAAAGGTGAATACAACAAACAGATCCGTTACACGTGTGCGTATGTTGGATGTCTGCTGTCTCCTTGCATGTTAACGTACCGTATACTGCGCCGGGGGGTATGCCTAACTTTGGTGCTTTGTGTGGGTCGCGTTCCCATGGTAGTTGTGTGGCTGAAGCCCTCGCCGTTTGTCGGGGCACGCTATCCTGTGTAGTCAGGGCAAGTGGGGGCGGGGTGGAGTGCCCAGAGTCTATACCCTGGGATCTCTCCGCCCAGTCCCAGTCCGGGGGTGCGTCGAACCTTCCATCACCCTGGCTAGCCCCTGCTCCTTGGGGGAACGTCCGGGTGTTGGAAGTAAAGATAATTACTTTTTTTTAACGTACCGTATACTACACAAGTTGCAACTTCATTCAGCTGGTGTTATTACAATATCCTACGACACAGCGCGACAGCGTCCGCGAGCGGTATCTCTCTCGCCCTCTCTCGCGGTGCTCCTGCCCTCGATTTCGGCGGCGTCACAGAAAGCGGCGGAGGGTTGCGATGAGCCGCTCGGTCTGAGCGAGAGTGCCGATCGAGACGCGCAGCCCGAGAGTGCCGCTTGCGTCCTTCTTCGGGCGGACGAGGATGCCTACGGGGCCGCGCCACGGGGACGCGTCACGGGCGCTGCCGCGCGTCGGTCTGGGCGGCGGGCGAGGGTGTGTCGCCCTCCGCACGCAGCGCCTTCTCGGTGGCGGTCGGGTCGGGGAAGTAGCAAAAGACGTAGTTGGCCGCCGATGGCCAGAAGGCGACGCCCGCCTCGGCGAGGAAATCCTCGAGCGCAGGGCGCGCCTTGTTGTTGTGCTCCGCGACAAAGTCAGATACGTACTGCGGGTCGTCGAGAGCCGCTCGGAGCGCCACGACGGCGAGCTGGTTGATGTCGTACGGGCCGCGCACCTGTCTCCACGCCAGCGGGTGTGAAGGTTCGCACACCCTCGCCACGGTGGCGCGCGGGCGGCCGCGCACGCAGCAGAGCGCGTTGATGTTCTCTTCGGCGGAGAGGATGTACCCGATCCGGAGGGAGGGGAGGCCCCACGTCTTTGAGAAGGTGCGCGTGACGAAGAGGTTGCGCAGACGCCCCACCTCGGCCGCCATCGAGCTGCCGGGCGGCATGAACTCGTAGTAGCACTCGTCGACGAGCACCGCGGCGTGCGGCGCCGCCTCGGCGATGGTCACCATGTCGGCGGTCGGGATGGCGGTGCCGGTCGGGTTGTTTGGGTTGGAGAGGACGATCAGGCTCGTGGCGGGCGAGACCGCGGCGAGCACCTCGGCCGTCGGGAAGCCGGCCTGGAGCGGCGGCCCGAGGACGGTCAGGGGGGAGGGAGGGTCGGGGGGGAGGGAGGGTCAGGGGGGGAGGGAGGGTCGGGGGGAGGCGTCGCGCCTCGCGGGTGAACCACGGCCGCTTGATCACCAGGTCCTCCGCCCCGGCGGCTTGCTCGTACATCGCGAAGGTGGGCGCCGGAACGATCGCCTCCGTACCGCCGGGGCAGCAGCAGCGCACGATCAGGTCGATGCCCTGGTCCGACCCGTTTGTAAACATGCACTGCGAGGGCGGCACTCCGGCGTACGCCGCGATCCTCTCGTTGATGTCGCCGTACTGAGGGTACTGCTGCGTCGTGCCGGACGCGACGTGGGCCGTGATGGCGGAGGTGACGTGCGGCGGCGGAGGGACGGTCCTAGGGGCAGGGGTAGGGGGCAGGGGTAGGGGGCAGGGGTAGGGGGCAGGGGTAGGGGGCAGGGGTAGGGGGCAGGGGTAGGGGGCAGGGGTAGGGGGCAGGGGTAGGGGGCAGGGGTAGGGGGCAGGGGTAGGGGGCAGGGGTAGGGGGCAGGGGTAGGGGGCAGGGGTAGGGGGCAGGGGTAGGGGGCAGGGGTAGGGGGCAGGGGTAGGGGGCAGGGGGCAGGGTAAGGGTCAGGTTCAGTCAGGGCAGGGGCCAGTCAGGGTCAGGGCAGTCAGGGTAGGGTCAGGGTCAGCTAACCTCTCGTTGAAGTCGAGCAGCAAGTGCTGGTTGGCGGAGCGGCCGTCGAGCGGAGGGAGGTAGGGGGTGAGGCGCTGCAGGTGCGGCTTGATGACGCAGCCGGCCGAGCTGCCCTCTGGCGGGGAGAGCTGTGCCAGCGCCGCCGCGTGCAGCGCCTAAGAGAGGCGAGGCGAGGCCGGGGGAGGGAGGGGGTGGGAGAGGGGGGGGGGGGGGGAAAAAAGGGGGAGAGAGGTATGGGGAAGAGGTGGAGAGAGAGAGAGGGGTGGAGAGGGAGCTGGGAGGAGATGGCGCCTCGTTGCACGCCGCGAGGACGCGCCCGCGCGTCTCGCCGTGGTTGCGCCTGCGGGTGACACGTCCAGGGCAGGTGACGGACATGCCATGCACGCTGCCGCGCCTCGCCGAGGCTGCGCATGGTCAGCGGCTCGCCGCGCCAGCCGGTCATCACGCCGCCCGCGCCGAGCAGGACGGGCACCAGCGCCGCGTAGTCGTACACGCCGAGGTCCGCCTGCGGACGCGGCGCCGCCCAGCCGCTCTCCTTCTCTCCCTCCCCGCTCCCTCTTCCGCTGCTCGCCTCTCTCGCTCCGCTGCTCTCTCGCGCCGCCTCTCTCGCTCGCCTCTCTCGCGGCGCCTCCGCCCTCACCCTCCTCCGCCCTCACCCTCCTCCGCCCTCACCCTCCTCCGATCTCGGCTGCATCTCGCGGCGCGCCTCGCAGACGAGGTGGGGGCCGAACCCGCTCGCCACGAGGGCGTACGCGTAGCAGTCACACCCGTACAGAGGCCGCTTGACCGCGCCGCGCAGCCGGCCAAAGGCGGCCGCCTCTGCCCCCGCCGCAAACATGTGCGGCGTCGTCGCGTATAGCATCGCCTCGTCGAGCCGGCTCGCCTGGCGGACGCGGCGCTTCCCGTCTCCGCGCGGGACGCCTTCTCTCATCGGCTGCTGCTCTCCTCGGCTGCATCTCGGCTACGTCTCGCCTCGCCGTCCGCCTCGACCGGCTCGCCGTTGAGGGTGGTGCCGCCGCCGACGACACCAACCCAGCGCTCCTGCAGGACGGGCTGGTCGATGACGCCGAGCACGGGCACGCCCTCTAGGCACAGCCCGATCAGCGTGCCGAAGAGCGGCTTGCCCGTCACAAAGCTCTTGGTGCCGTCAATCGGGTCGAGCACCCAGCAGAAGCGCGCGTCAGCACGGAGCGAGCCGAGCTTTTCGCCGAGCACGCCGTGCTCGGGGTAGCGCGCCTCGATCAGCGCGCGCATCGCAGCCTCGGCGTTCCGATCCGCCGCCGTCACCGGGCTCTCTGCCACAGGCCGGCCCGGCTCGACCTTGGAGTCGACAACGAGCCGGCGCTGCCGCCAGAAGGGGAGGATCTCGCGCCGCGCCGCGTCGGCCAGCTCGTTGGCGAAGGCCTTGAGCTCGGCAGAGAGCGCGGCGGGCAGCGACACGGAGGCGAGGTCTTTGGAGGCGGAGAAGCCCATGTCCATGCGACGCGGGCCGACACCGAGCTCGTTACAAGAGAGAATTTTCACGCGTGTTCACAGCCTTGTTATTGAGAAGAAAATACCTCTATCGCGCTGTGCGCTGGCCTGTGAGAGGTCTTCACATGACCCAAGCATCTGCACCGTGAGGTGTGATACATTGGCGCGTAAAGGGTCAGTCTGGAGTCGCGTGCCTCCACAACGGAAGAGCTACGCAGTACCTGACATCCCCTGGGGTCTTGCCACTAAAGGCGGACGGAGGGTTGGGACTCAAACAGCTTGGTTGGACGAACTGCAGGTCCGGAGGTAACCTCAACGTCCTGCAGCCGGCCGCGGCGCCGTAAGCGGATCGCACCTCAGACCAGAGAAGAGAGGTGGAGCTCACCACACGTAGAGCACCTACCGCCGCGTAGACGACGCGGGAGTCTCCCCCACATAAAGAGGGGGGGAGAGGTAAGTAAGAAGGGCCGACGACAGGACCCATTACGCGAGCAGAGGCTCGAGCTGACATCGCCGTGAGAGCCACGGTGAATCCCATGCTAGGGTTTGCTAGCGCGAGAGCTTAGCATGCCACCAAGGAGAGGGTGGGTGGGAACCAAAGAGAGATGGCGCAGCCGGAGGGCTGGCTCCGTCAGAGAGGATGGAGCGGCCACAGAGGTGGCGCGGCATCAGGTCCCATGAGCAGGGAGAGAGCGCAGCGAGAGCGCCGCGAATGAGGAGCGAGGGCCAAGCGCGCTCGCGAAAGTAGGCGGCGAAAGCGCGCACCAGCGGAAGTGCAAGTTTGGTGTTCACAGCAGCGGAGGCTGAGTGAAGACCGCCCCTCGCGGAGCGACGCGGGTCGCGCGGCGCGCGCGTGTGCGAAATGCGACAAAAGACGAAAGACGACAGGCGCCTGAGCGCTGTACGCCTGAACTTTTGTCGCCGCAATCGCCACCGCCGCCATCTTGACGAGCAGCGCGAGCGCGCTCGTCGGCGGCCAGCCGTCGCGGGCCGGGCCGAGCCCGGCCTCAACCGGCCGCGCCGCCGCAGCAGGCCCGGAGGCCCACATGGCGGCCGACCAGCTGATAAGGATGAAGGCTCTTCTTGTCTCCCTCTTCCACAGCTGCGCGACCTGCAGCGCGACCTGCAGCGCTGGTACGAGGCGGTGGACGGCGCTCTGGCCGACAAGCGCTGCCGCCTCCTCCTCTACAGCTGGCTAGAGCGGGCCCAGACCAGTGAGTGTTGTGCGAAGAAAGAAAGATAAGAAGTGGCCCCTCCGAGCTGGGATAGGACCGCCGCAAGCGGCGTGGCGTGGGGCGGTTGAGCATCCCTCCGGGGGCCCCTCTGCGCCGGGGAGGCGTTGTTGGAGGCTAGGACACAAGCGTCCGTCGCCCTTTTCAAACTCGGGTCCCACTCCGCTACGCTCCGACCCAAATTTGGAGGGCCATGAAGTTTAAGGTGTTGCTGCGCAAAACCAAAAGGGGCGGGGCGCGGGCGCCGCGCGCGGGGGACCGAGAGTTCTTTTTGGGGAGATCAGACCTTTCGGTGGTTCATGCTTTCTATTTCTATCTATCATGCTTCATGACACGACACGCGGTGGTGGGAGCTGGTGGAGCTGTCAGCTGATCGATCCAAGCGGGTGGGGAGTGGGGGGCTGGGCATGCAGGTCTCTGACGTGGTGCTGCCGCTGTATTCGCTGAAGAAGAGAGGTGCGACTTGATTGGAGGCACTGGAGGTGAGGGTGGGGAAGGGAAGGTTGGGCCGGGCCGTGAGGGGCTGATGGCGCTGGCCAGCGCGGGGTGTGAGATGTCGTCGTCGTCGTATACTGCTGGCCCTCGCCCTCAGTTGCCAGGGCTGTGGGCTGCAGAATTGGCGTCTGTGGCGTCTACGCAGGCTCTGCAGCGTGATGGCTGGCGGGACTGCGAGGCTGGCGGCAGCGGAAGGAGAGGCTGGGCACACGAGCCAGGAACAGGCTGGTCAGGTCCGTAGGTGGCTGCGCTCGAGGCGCGCGCGCGCATGGCGGGCCGAGCAGCGCCGGATCGCCCATGTTTAGCGTTTGCCAAACTTGAACCGACGTTCTTCTGCTCGGATTCCGTGGTTTTTGCACGGTATTCGGATTTTCGCTATTTGGTCGTGTGGGTGTGATTCCGGGATTAGTCAATGGTACCGCGTCGGCGACGCGGGCGCCTTGCGGGCAGAGCCCTGAGCCACCCTTATGTCTTGTCTCTTGCGCGGTCAAAACACACAGCCAAGGGAGGGGAGGGAGGGAGGGGAAGACGGCACGCCGCCACCAACCACACCAAACGAGGCGCGTGTCCTATTCGGTTGGCTGTTGTTTCAAATTTTCATGAATTGTTTCAATTTTCGTGTTTCATGCCCTCGGCCGTCCCTGAAAGCAGAAAGAAGCTGCTTTCTTTGTTTGTTTGCTGTTTTCAAGCTGCATGCAGTCCCTCATCCAACGAAAATAAAAGCAAAAGTGTGCTTGGATCAATATTGACCGCGCAAGATAAAAGGGTGGCTAAGGGCTCTGCCCGCAAGGCGCCCGCGTCGCAGACGCGGTACCATTGACAAATCTGCGATATACCCCCACACGAGCAAATAGCAAAATCCGAATACCGTGCACAAACTGCGTGATGTCGGCCGGGCAAGCCATCAGCTGGTGCCAAGACGTTCGTACAATTGAGAGAGACCGCCTTGCGCGCAAGGCTCAACGCTCGGGCGTTGACCGCACCGCGTACCCTCCCCACTCCCGCCTCTCATTTGTGTCACACCACGCGGAACGCATCTCCATCGCTTCGGTGAAGGGGGTGAACCGTGCCATCCTCGATCGCCGTGCAAAGCTCGCTTCCGAGCTCTCACGCCGCGCGTAGGGCCCTTAGGGGCCTAGAGAACACAACCCCCTCTCTCTTTTCTCCCAGTAAGCTAAAAGTACGTACAATTGAAGCCAACACGGGATGAGTAGGTTCGGGTTTGGGTGTTTTCAGTGTGTTTCAAGCGAGCCAGCCTGTGGCAGAACACTTCGCTTCGCGCTGCAGCGCTTGGGCCACCGCCCTGGCCGTGAGCGAGCTTTTGCCGGCCACGGCGGCTACCAAGAGGATGGGCCCGGGCTCTGGCGCCGCGAGCACGGTGCCACCTCGACGTGAGTAGGCCTGAAGCCGCCCGGCGCTCGCCGCGCTGCCCACGCCAGAGACTGGCTTGCTGCCGCACCACCTCTCGTGACTGTACTAGGCGGGACGGAGGTCGACACTGGTCAGCACCGCGGCTGGTGACGCCGCGAGGCGCCCGCCAACTCTCGGCGACGGTGAGACGGTGCAAGATGTGCAGCTCTCGGCAGACGTCGAGGCGCTCGAGCTGCGGTGCAACGAGCCGCTCCGCTCCCGTACGACCCGCTTGTACAGTGACAAGTGGCACGGTTCGCTCCCGTCTACACGCTCGACTTCCTCACCAGGGTGCGCCGCTTGCGCGCACGCACACCTTTTGCCCGCCGCACACGCGCACCCTGCCACAGACACGTCGATGTCGCGCACTGCTCAGGTGGGGCAGACGTTCCCAGGCTCGACGCCTGGGAGTGTTGTCCTATCATCCGCGCTCGTCGGCGACTCGACCGACTTCCCCAGCGAGAGTGTTGCGAGCAACAGGGTCGCCTCGGCGGCTTGAGCTGCGCAGCGACAGATCACTCCTCACCAGGCAAGCTGCGGCCCGGACGGCCGCGTCTCGTAGTTGCACACCCGTGGCGACTACGTTCCCGCGGCGGTGACAATGTCCCGTGTTGACGACGGGAGACACTGGTGTCACGCGCCGGCTTGCTTGCGGCTCGGCGCGCGCGCCGCCGCGCGTGGCGGCCGCGTGAGGCGTTGCACACCCTCGTTCGGGCGTGTGTCGTGGCTGTGTTATGTGTGTTTGGTCCTTGCCCCCAGATTTTGTCTTTTTACAATGGGTACTCATGGGGAATGATCGCTGGCAAAAAATAAAGAAGTCGGCGAGCGGTCAAAAATGCGGACGTCCACACCGCAGGTTTCGCGCGAACCCACCGCGCATCACGGCCGCTGATACCCAGCGAGAGCTCGGCTGCTCTCCATGGGATGGGGTTCTGGTGCGGGCAAGGGCAAGATCCTTGCCCCCGCTGCCGGCGACCTGGTTCACGTCAGCGCCCACAACCCGTTTGACGGCAAGATGGTGCTTACCGACATCTCGGGCCTCGCACACAGGGCGTCGAAGAAGCAGCCGAAGCAGGTGGCGCAGGAGGGAATCTCGCAGCGTCAGCAGCAGTATGTGATGCAGCACCTCCAGGGCATCTATGCTTTGGGTGGCAAAGTGTGTCTCGTCCTTGATGGCCGTGCGTACCCGCCAAAGAAGAAGGAGCGCGAGAGGCGGCGCGGGACAAGCCAGCAGGCAGTCGATGAGGCGCTGGCAAAGGAGGCGAGGAACGAGGACGCCTCCAAGGAGTGGAAGGCTGCTGCACGCCCCGCCGAGCCACTCTGGGCGTGGCTGATGCAGGAGTGCATCGACAAGGACATGCCCTTCATCGTTGCACCGTACGAGGCAGACGAGCAGCTCGTGTCCCTGCAGTGGGAGCTGGGGGTGGACCAGGCGGTGATTTGGGCCGCCTCAGAGGACAGCGACCTCGCTGCCTTTGGCGCCCTGGAGGTGATTTACGACTGGAACATCATGTCGCAAACGTACCGCTCCTCCCGGCTGATGGAGCAGGTGGTGGGCAAGCAGGTAGACAGCAAGTTCTCCTTTGTCGGCTGGAACTACGACCGCTTCCTTGCTCTCGTCATTGCCTCCGGCCACGACTACTTCAAGCACAAGAAGGCGGAAGGCAAGCAGGGATGGGGACTTGTGACCGTCTACAACGCCATGAGCGCGGCGCGCCTGCCGCCAGTCTACACGCCAGCAGTCCCGCACCCGCCGCTGCACGACCGGCCGGCTGAGTGGTCAACGGATGCTGCTGTCCTTGGCTACGTGGCGCCCCTGCTGGCGAAGCTGCCGCAGGCAGACCGGGCGACCGTCGGTGATCAGATTGTCGCTGCCTGTCGTGCCGTCCGCCTCCACCCCGTGTACAACCTCACGAGTCTCGGCCCGGAACGCCTGTCCTGGCCCAACCTCTCGGTCGACGTCGCTCAGCCGTTCCTCCAACCAGGGCTAAGCATGCCGCCGGCCGACGCTTCGTGGGCGCAGCAGGTTCCGGGTATCGAGCTCGATGCCGATGCTGCGACGGCAACGAGGTGGGCGCGAGGCGAGGACCGCGTCGACGCGAATGGACAGCTCCACCCTCGCCAGCTACGCGCGCCGCGCGCGCGTGCGCCCGGCGCGGGCGGCGCCGCGCCCGGCGCGGGCGGCGGCGGCGCCGGGGCTGCGAGCGACTCGGAGACCGAGGACGCAGACCCGGCTGTGGCGATGGACGCGTCCGGCGTCAAGCTGAGTACGATCGACACCGTGTCGGACGCCAAGGTGCTTGCCTTCCTCGGAGAGTACGGGGTGGAGGTCTACGCCAACTGGTCGTCAGAGACGAGCCGCGGTGTCGCTCGTCGGCTCCTCGAGCAGTATCCGGATGGCGAGGTGCCCATGCTCAAGCCGAAACACCCGGCCCTACACCGGCACTCGCGCACGAGAACCAACCTCAAACTCGTGCCGGGCGCCCCGCGAGGTTGTTCGGTAGTGTACGACGCGGTCCAGGACCTCAAGCAGTCAGGCTTGTTGCTCGATGCGGCGACGCGTGACAAGTTCCTCCCCTTTGAGAACACGCAAGCTCGAGGCTACCGGCTGTACGACTCCACTTCTGGCATGTCGCGCGCAACTCGCGTCGGCAACTTCTCGCACGCGCACTCGAAGCAGGCCACCCTGTGTACCTCTCTGCATGTGTGTCCCTATAGTGCTCCCTGTCTCACCACTTTGTTCGCGCAAGCCGTAGGTGACGGTGCAGCAAGCCACGTACGAGTCAGCCCCGGGGCAGCTCGACAAGGCCTACGTGTTCCGCATGACTGTTCACGCCTCGATGCGCTCCATGGACCACACCGTCATGCTCGCCGACTTCTTTATTTTTTGCCAGCGATCATTCCCCATGAGTACCCATTGTAAAAAGACAAAATCTGGGGGCAAGGACCAAACACACATAACACAGCCACGACACACGCCCGAACGAGGGTGTGCAACGCCTCACGCGGCCGCCACGCGCGGCGGCGCGCGCGCCGAGCCGCAAGCAAGCCGGCGCGTGACACCAGTGTCTCCCGTCGTCAACACGGGACATTGTCACCGCCGCGGGAACGTAGTCGCCACGGGTGTGCAACTACGAGACGCGGCCGTCCGGGCCGCAGCTTGCCTGGTGAGGAGTGATCTGTCGCTGCGCAGCTCAAGCCGCCGAGGCGACCCTGTTGCTCGCAACACTCTCGCTGGGGAAGTCGGTCGAGTCGCCGACGAGCGCGGATGATAGGACAACACTCCCAGGCGTCGAGCCTGGGAACGTCTGCCCCACCTGAGCAGTGCGCGACATCGACGTGTCTGTGGCAGGGTGCGCGTGTGCGGCGGGCAAAAGGTGTGCGTGCGCGCAAGCGGCGCACCCTGGTGAGGAAGTCGAGCGTGTAGACGGGAGCGAACCGTGCCACTTGTCACTGTACAAGCGGGTCGTACGGGAGCGGAGCGGCTCGTTGCACCGCAGCTCGAGCGCCTCGACGTCTGCCGAGAGCTGCACATCTTGCACCGTCTCACCGTCGCCGAGAGTTGGCGGGCGCCTCGCGGCGTCACCAGCCGCGGTGCTGACCAGTGTCGACCTCCGTCCCACCTAGTACAGTCACGAGAGGTGGTGCGGCAGCAAGCCAGTCTCTGGCGTGGGCAGCGCGGCGAGCGCCGGGCGGCTTCAGGCCTGCTCTCGTCGAGGTGGCACCGTGCTCGCGGCGCCAGAGCCCGGGCCCATCCTCTTGGTAGCCGCCGTGGCCGGCAAAAGCTCGCTCACGGCCAGGGCGGTGGCCCAAGCGCTGCAGCGCGAAGCGAAGTGTTCTGCCACAGGCTGGCTCGCTTGAAACACACTGAAAACACCCAAACCCGAACACCCTCATGGATTGCCGACGGGCAAGCGTCTCATTGGCGCCCCCCCCCCCCCCCCCCCTAAGAAGCCCGTCGATGCAGGGGGCCCGCGCGGCCACGGCCGCAACGACGCGTCGCCGGCGGCGCTCACTCGAGCCCGAGCCCTCCGCGACGGCAACGCCAGGTCGTCGCGTCCGCCCCGCCAGCCCTTGAGCACGCCTCCCGCATACCGATGACTGCACTCGGCGTCCACCGGCGGGGGACCATGGAGGAGCGGTCAGCAGTCTCGACTGCTCCACCGGCTCCTCCACAGGCTCTCGCCGTCGGCCCCGGCGCGCTGCGACGGCGCGCCGCCGGCTCCCACCGCGGCGTCCGAGCTGGAGGGAAAGGTGACGCACCTGATGGAGCTGCTCAAGGCGCATCAGTCGCGGGACGCGGAGGCGTCGCGGCTGCAGCAAGCGCTGCAGTGCCAGGAGGAGGCGGACGCCGCCAAGCTCGTCGAGCTGATGCGACGGCAGGAGGCGGCGAGCGCGGCGGCGGTCGAGGAGGCCAAGGCTGCGATCGAGGCGCAGCTGGTCGAGCGATTCCGCGAGGAGCAGGCGGCGGCGGCGGAGGCGCACTCAGCGCAGCTGCAGCAGCTGAGCGCGGAGCACTCGACGCAGCTGCAGCAGGCAGCGGCCCTCCTGGAGGCGCAGGCGCGCGAGAAGTTTGAGACGGCGGTCGCGCACGAGAGGGTGATTGGAGCAGGCGGTGCTCGCAGAGAGGCTGGTGAGCGGAACCTCTCCCCTCCCGCCTCCCCGCCCGCCTTCCCTCCCGCCTCCCGCCTCGACTCCCCTGCCTCACTCCTCCCGACCCATCCCTCACTCCTCACTCCGCCCGCCTCTCCTCTCCCCTCCCTCCTCCCCTCCTCCCCTCCCCCTCCCCTCTCCTCCTCCCCTCCCCCCCTCCCCATTCCCCCTTCCTCTCGCCTCGCGCCCAGCCCAGCCCCGCCACCTCACCGCCCTCCCAGGCGTATCTCTCCGCCCTCAAGCAGCTCGAGCTCGACGTCGACGTGCTCACACGCGTCCTGGCGCCTACTGTATACTTGATGCAGAGCTTTCCGACGTCATTGTGTTTGCCGCTCCGCGCTCGACGCCTGCCGCCGCGCGCGCCCGCCCGCGCGCCACCCCTTTTGCGCAGCAACACCTTAAATTTCATGGCCCTCCAAATTCGGGTCGGAGCGTAGCGGAGTGGGCCCCGAGTTTGAAAACGGCGACGGACGCTTGTGTCCTAGCCGCCAACAACGCCTCCCCGGCGCAGAGGGGCCCCCGGAGGGATGCTCAACCGCTCCACGCCACGCCGCTTGCGGTGGTCCTATTCCACGCTCGCGGGGGCCGCTTCTTGTCTGCTGTCGGGGAAATTCAAGGGAAGTCGTGGCACAATCGTCGCGCCATTGAACCACGGCCCGCATTTGCCATGTCGGCCGCCTCCATGCTCCGCCTCTGCCTCCTGGTTGTTCCTCGACTCGCAACTCTCACATATGCCGCGCCTCACCTGATCATGCACCTCTCAGTCGCCGGCGTCAATCTCGAGGCCACCTCCAGTGTTCGCAACGCAAGACTTCCGGCAATCGCCAAGCTCTCGTCCAAGGTCAAGCTCCCGGCTATCGATCGGGCCGCAACGCCAAAGGCACGCGGCGGCCTCCTCGTGTACAAGGACGATGCCTGGCGTACGACTCCGTCGCTCACTCCCGACCTTGTCGACGGCGAGATCTCGGACGCTCGCCTGTGAGCCCGCTCCCCGCCTCCCGCGATATATCACCCCGCATTCCCGTTGCCACCATCGCCTCGGCTCGGCAGGGATCGACGCACAATCAACTCTCGCGGCGACACCGAGTGGGCTGTCGAGGCTCCAATCACCTTCAGCTACCGCGTCCGCGAGTGCCCCGACGTGCTGAACCCTCGGTCCGACGCTCTGCTCTTCGGTCACCTGTCCGACGGCGCCACCCTCGCCCATGCGCGCGCTCGCAAGCTGAAGCGCGTCGTCGTCGTCGACTCTGTGGTGCATCAGCTCCATGGCGAGCGCATCGACGCCTACTTCGCCCACCACGACGTCGAGACGCGCCTGTTAGTCCTGCCCACGACCGAGGAGAACAAGAACATGGACATGGTGCTCACCATCGCGGAGGCGATCCACGACCTCGGGATCGACCGCCGTCTCGACCCCGTCATCGCCATTGGCGGCGGCGTGTGCATGGACATTGTCGGCTTCGCGGCCTCCATCTACCGTCGCAAGACGCCGTACGTGCGCGTGCCGACCACGCTGATGGGCTACGTGGATGCCTCCATCGGGGCCAAGACCGGCGTGAATTTCGCGGGCAAGAAAAACAAGCTGGGCGCGTATGTGCCGCCAGCCCTCACGCTGCTCGACCGCTCCTTCCTCGGCACGCTCGACGCGCGGCAGTTGTCGAACGGCGCAGCCGAGATCGTCAAGATGGCGCTCGTCAAGGACGCAGAGCTCTTCTCCCTGCTCGAGGAGCACGGCCCCAGCCTGATCGAGGGCAAGTTCCAGGACCTCCCCGGCGGCGTTGAGTCCAACGCGGTCGGCGCGCCATCCCGCGTGCTCACGCTCGCCATATCCACGATGCTGGAGGAGCTCGCGCCAAATCTGTGGGAGGATTCGCTCACCCGGTGCGGATCCACCCTCGCAGATTAAACTCTCCGCGCGCCCTCAACGACTCGTGCCGATGTGCCCCTCCGGTAGGCTCGTCGACTTTGGCCACATCTTCAGCATGGAGTTAGAGATGGAGGCGCTGCACTCCAGCAAACTCTTCCACGGGGAAGCCGTGGCGATCGACATGGCCCTGTGCGCTTGCCTCGCGACGGTGCGCGGGCACATCGACTCCTCCACTCGCGACCGCATCCTTGCGGTGATGCGTGGCCTCCGGCTTCCCACGTACCACGAGCTGCTCGACGAGAAGATGGCACTCTTCGCCATTGAGGAGCGCATCAAGTTTTCGCAGACAATCAAGATGCCACTCCCCGTCGGCGTGGGCACCTCGCGCATCTATGACGACATCACGTCGGACGAAATTGTGGCGGCGCTGGCCATGGCGAAGCGCCTGCACGCGGAGCCCTAATTCTCGCCGTGAGATCACTGCTGAGCCCGACCACCCTCTTGCTGCTCGATATTGTACTGCGTGATCTGGGATAGGGCGACCCACCCCGCCCCAGTGCCCAGAACCGTGTGTCACCTGTACTGTCAACCAACCTTGCTGTGGACGGGGTGCACGTGTGTGTGTGGTGTGTGTGTGTGTGTGTGTGTGTGTGTGTGTGTGTGTGTGTGTGTGTGTGTGTGTGTGTGTGTGTGTGTGTGTGTGTGTGTGTGTGTGTGTGTGTGTGTGTGTGTGTGTGTGTGTGTGTGTGTGTGTGTGTGTGTGTGTGTGTGTGTGGCGCATGTGCGCACGGGTGCCGGGAGACCGCGCGAACCCCTCTTGTTGCCGTTTTGTACGTCAGCCTTGTACTCTTTACGTAGCAATACCAAACAACTATAACACACTCACACAATCATTTTTGGTATGTGTTTGAGTGTACCTCCATAATAAGCGAGAACGATAAAGAAAGAAAGCCATGAAGGTTCACAAGAAAATGTCAAATAATAAAGAGGTGAGATCGTACTGCTGCTAAGTTACTCTCTGACTCTGTTCCCCTCAGTCTGCGAGATAGATGTGCCACGGCACAAACACCTTTACGCTTTACCCTTTAGACAAACACGAAAAGAAACTACCCGCCCGGCCGCGCGGCGAGCCCGCTCACCCGCCGCTCTCTGGATCTCGATGAAGCTGGCGCTTAAAGCATAAAGGTTGAAGGCCCGGTCGTCGTGTCTGCAGCCCGAGTGCGGACTGTGTTTCAGGATATCGCGGGATTATCCAGCGACAAAGTGCAAAAGCGACGACACGACAATCGACATGGACAGAGGCTCTGGCTGAGAAGACTACACACACCACGTACAAGGCGAGGCCCCCGAGCCCTCCCCCTTCCCAACGACGCGGCGCACACACACATGACAGACAAGGTATAGGGTCCCGTGCTGACGCGGCGCCGGCTACCTGATGGTCATCGAGTTGAGGATCGACTCCTTTGCGGCGGCTCGCTCCTTCTTGGACGCCTCGCCGCCCGAGAGGATCTTCCAGAAGCGGAGCGTCTCGTCGGCCGCGGCGGTGACGACGGTGGTGCCGTCGGGCGACTGCGCCATGTGGAGCACGCGCGAGGTGTGCCCCGTCAGCTCGGCCACCTTGACCATCGACGGGTACTTCCACAGGATGAGCTGGTTGTGCGAGTAGCCGTGCGACGAGACGAGCTCGCGGTCGTGCTTCGCCCACTGAAGCGCGCAGACCTGGCGGACGGGGGTGGGGGTGGGGGGTGGGGCGAGGGTCGGGGCGAGGGTCGGGAGAGGGAACGGCCGCGGCGGCAGCGGCGCGGGAGGGGGGCTGGAGGGGCGGGGCGGGACCTGCGAGTGCGTGTCGACCGCGTTGAGGCACGCGCCGGTCGACGAGTTCCAGAAGCGAATCATCCGGTCGGCGGTGCCTCCGCCCGAGGCGAGCAGGTTCCGCTGCCACGGGCACCACGCGAGGGCCTTGACGGCGGCGCGGTGCTGCTCCAGCCTGCCGAGGGGGGGGGGGGGGTGAAAAAAAGAAAGGAAGGCCTGGCCCCCAAGGGTTTGTTGGGAAAAGGGGTCTTGGGCCTGGGGTCTTTCGGTTTGGCCTGGGCAACGGCTGGTCCCCCCCCCCCTTGGGGGAGGAGGGGTTCCGGTCGTCCCCCAAATTGAAGATGTTTTCCTTTCCCCCCC